CCCGAGTACTGTTTCAATATTTCCTGTAGTTTCTGAAAATCACTCGGCTCCTCTGTGTCTCCTACTAGCGTGATGTCCACTGCGTACACGTCAGCTCCAGCAGCGACAGCCCATTTCATCGTGATGGCGTTAACGTGGACCGTTGAAGACTCAGGCGACTGCCAACGAAATAGTGCGACCCAGTTACCACCGCTTCGCACAGTGCAGCTACCTGTCGTCCAGTCAATTCTTGGGTTGTAGCGTCGCAGCCAATCACGTCCCAGTAAAATGTCGTGCCCATCCAGCGTCGTCGCAAGCATTTCCTGTGTAAACCCGAAATCCCCCCCGCAGCGAACCTTCACTCTCTCCACCTTCTCCCGTATAGCCAGTGGCGCACCGCCAGCTAAACGTACGCCGATCTTTGGTAAGCAGCTTCCGTGGCGTTGCTCCTCCGTCAATAAAAATCTTCAATGCTATCCCCTGTATTTTCCCGTGAATCCGTATTGGGCAATCTGTCGCTGTACCCTCCTTATTCAGCCGAGCCCGATCGATTGCGTGAATCGGTACTGTGACTCGGTGAGGGTCAGTGAGGTCGGGCGAGCAGTGAGTCTCGTCAGTAGTGGGCCCGTACTCTACTGACTGTTGGCATTTCCCTGCCTCCCAAACTCCCTACCCTGCTCTGCTCCACGGCGCCTTAACTCCTCTGGGCATTCGCTCTTGCGATGGCCCGGCCTATTGCACGCGAAGCAGCGCCCCTTAAATGGTGCGGCAGCTGCGCTCGCTGCAACGGCGTGTATAGTGGTGTGCTCGATCGGTCCCCGAGGGCGATGTCCATAATAGGACCTCGGTCTCAGACGCCGCAAAATGTTGATTTTCTCCGCTAGTGCCGGAATTTCGTTGAAGTTCGAGATCCCGCGAAGAAGGATTTCTTGCAAGATTTCCAGCTTCAGGCCACCGACGTAGTGATCCACTCGCTCCGCTTCGTGCATGTAGCCGACCTGCTCACACAGCGCGAGAAAAACGCTGGTGTAGTCTTGCAGCTTCTGACGTGCCGAAATCGAAGCCGCGATCGGCTCGAAGCGCGCCGAATCCCTGCGCACCAAGTGTCCCACGTGCTGTATTGGGCGGTTTCACAGAACGAACTCCAGGTGACGGCTGGGCCCGTGGGCCTTTCCTCTTGCGACAGTGGCTCGTAGGCGCTTCACGACGTCACGATGACTCGCCACCAGTCCATGGCGTGGCCCCACAGCAACGATACGGCGTACCGAATCTTCGCTACATCCGACGTGACGTAGTTCGCATAAAAAAACACGTTCATAGTGAAAATCCACGATTGAACTGTTGGACTTCCACGCTGGCTAGGATCGAAGCAGGGCGGGCGCTGCGGCTTGAGTGGCATCGGCTCACCAATGTCGTCGTTGCCGGCCGGTGCTGCAAATCCGACGTGACCACGAGCCTCGCGAGGTATGTTTACGCCCGGTGCGGTCCTGGTTCTCTCCATGCCCGGCATAGTTTGGGCGACGCCATCGATAATTGCGCCTGAGCGCTGTCCCACACTGTCGTGTTGCGACGGAGTTCCTGATGAGATAACAATCGGCTCGCGCAGGTGCGTTTGCAGGTGCGGGTGCTGGTGCATTTGCCGTGGATTGCTGTCGCGCGGAATCGCGTTCCGCCGTCAATGTCCCGAGCTGGACGCTGTCGAACACAGACATGGCGGAGGCGTCGGGCTAGCTCAGCGAGAGCCTCAGTCGTGGCTGAGTGTGCTTATGAGAGAGCACACGAGCAGCAATGCTTGGTCGCTGTGGGACGTCTACCCCCTCCAAAAAATGAGATAAATGTGGAAGCGAAGGTGTGGGCGCGGTCCGAAAAAGGGTCGTGGCTTTGGATACCAAGTGTTATGAGCGCAATTGAGCGAGCGAGCGAGAAGTGCACTATCGAAGCAAAGCAGTCCATTGATCGAATAAATGAGCGAAGATTATAAAGCAAAGCTAGCGTGGTAACGGTAACGCGAGAAATTGGGGTGCGCTACGGGCCTAGCGACGAGGTTGGGAAAGGCGGAGGTCCAGAGCGCGGGTTACCAACTGAACCGTGAGGTTGGGTCGCGTTGTGGACAGTGGCAGGAACAGTGGTCGAGGCGAGTCTCGCGAGTGGTAACGGTGCAGTGTTGGGTACTGTTGGCGGGAACAGTCGTGTACGCTGTAAGCAGGGGTGCGAAGTAAGGAAAAGGATCTTTCCTTACAAGGTCATAAATTCTAATGATTTCAAATATTCAAGATCCTCACAGGCTCCCACAGCTTTTGCTCGCCCATTTCTAGAGTTCCATACGATTTATATCATCCATTTTCTTGAAAGAGGATTTGAGAGCATAACAAATTTTCCAAGTACCGTATTCTCCCGGACATAACACCCCCCGAAATTGTACACCCCCCGGGTAGCTTGTGTGGGGTGGGTGTTATAACCGACTTCGCTTGTACTATACCCCCCCTTTTGGGGTGATTCTCTATAACAACCCCATTTCTTACAAAAAAATCTTATTATAGCTGTTAAGGAGTAGGTGCAATCAAGGGAGAACATAGCGGAAATCACTTCATCGATGAAATTACATGGTAATTTCGAAAGGATCTGCCGGAATCACCTCCCTCCCACTTTTTTCGCTGTTGCCACGCTGGTAGATCGTTCGCTAACAAGTGGCCAAAGAGGTGCCACCTGGCTATTTCAAGGGGGTGAAAATGTTGGCGCTGAAACTCGCGTTCTCGCCTCTGAGTGTGATGGTAAACCATATTTGAAAACACCCAAGCTATCCATTTATCCAAATCCTTATATAAAACAATGTATATGAATAGACCCATGTAGTATGTAGCTTTTTCAGATGAGAAGACCCCCCCCCATTTTCTTTCCTGTATTTATCATAACACCCTAGGGTGTTATGTCCGGGAGAATACGGTACGACTCTCAATGCATTACATAAACCACGACATGATTAAATAATCGGTATAATCTCAAGTAACACCAAATCACTGGACATTTAAACATACTGGAAAAGGGTAAACTAAGGTGCATGTAACATGGAGATCTCAATGTTGGTGTGAGAATTTTCAATTCCTTTATGGTTCTCGCACTTTAGCTGGTACAGTTCCGAGGGGGTCGCCCCCGCTCCAATCACCACCCTTCCGAGCAGGGCCTCAGATTCACTTTTAGGGTCGTCGACCCGTTCAGGGTAACCCTGTGTAGAAACCCTGATTGACAAGCCTGAAATATGAGTGTTGCCTTTAAAAAACGGTTGATGCATCAGTGTACAATGATATACAGGGCTGTTATTATTTGAAATCTCTATTTTAAATACTAAGTCAGTAGCAGCCTTCCGAAACATTGCTAAGCTAACATGCCTCATGAATCATCACCAGCCGTGCTATCATCACTGCCCTTAGCCTTTGGTTCTTCTCTCTCCTCCTCAGCTTGGGACACCAGTACGTGAGAGTGCTCTGCCGCAACACACACCCCGGCTTCACTTCTGCTTGCGACACATACACGTTGAAGCTGCAGGGGCAGGGTTTGGGGGAGGAACCGGATTGACAGGCAGGGTGAGGCAGGGAGAGAGGAGGGAAGACTAGCACGGTTGGGGGGGAGACGACCGGGGGAGAGAGGGAGTGGATGGAGTGCGGGGTGAAGGGAGCGGGGGAATGGACGGCGGGCGCGCGGGTCATGCCGTCGCGCAGCACGTCGCTCTGCGCGCCGCCCGCGACGCAGATGGCCTTTCAACCGCGGTTCGTGCAGGCGACGAGGCAGCCTTCGGTCGTCGCCATTAGCACGAAATACTACGCGTCGTCGAGTCTTAGCGGGCCTGCGACGCCGACGGGGATTGCCACGTGGTCGACGACCATCTCGCAGCATGCGCTGCGGATCGCGTCGAACGGGAGCGATGTGTTCGGCGAGACAAGAGGAGGTTCGGCGGCGCTCGCGATGGGTTCGATTCCCGACAGCCCGCCGTTTCTGGTGCTGATGGCGCCATGTATTAGTGCATACGAGAAAGCACGAGAGAAATCGTGCTGAGATGGAGGGAGAGAGAAACAGGAGGAAAATAAACAAGAGAGATTGGATTGGAGGGAATGGGAGCATCAGTGCTTGCCAGCACAGCCAACGGTGCAGGAACCCTTGCAGCCCTCCAGCACCACATGGTTGCCACATTCTGATTAGCCAACACTTCATGCTGCAGCGAAACTGCCCAATGGAGTGCTGGCACCGCAGGAATCTAAGATTCCCTGTAATTGCGGGCAAATCCACACGGAACGGAACAAGTAAGAATTGTTTTCAGTGTTAGTTTCGTTACAACGCTGTGGAATTAGTGTACTTGGGGAAAAAGGTCTGAAATTTCAGTGTGGCCTAACAAAAAAGGCTGAAAGATCAGTCCCACAAAAATCTCAACACTGATTTTTCAGTGTAGGTAAAAAAAGGACTGCCAAAATCAGGAATTTCAGGGTTTTTTTCCTGATATATGAGGCCCTGCTTCCGAGCCATCTTCGCCCTACGTCCTCGCCTATCTAGGAATCCCTCTATTTTATCACGTCTCTTTCATTGTATCGTCATCAGTGAATCACATTCTCGATATTAGTTTACTTTGTGCACTCTGTAAGTTCATTCATAATAGTTGGTCCTTCAGTGTACATGCTACACAGGCGATTCCTCGATATTGTCAAGATGTGACCTATGTGACGCGATGAATCCCTACTGCTGACGTCGAGCAGGCTGCATCTGATTATCCCGCCTTCAGACTAGGTTGCTCTATTGCGTGGAAGGGCTCTGAACTACTCCATCTACCATAAGATACGCCATGGTAACCAACGCGACCGGACCGCGCTTTTGCGCAATGCTACCGCGCAGTTCAAACAGATTAAATAGGCAGCCCATTAGTTGCAGTTCCATCATCTGCCGTCTGCATATTCATCCATTTCTAGAATCTACTCTCACTCGGCAGTACACTTCGCAACGTATTATTCTCTCACGCGCTGCGCTATTCTCCGCGAATGATGTCGCACGTACCGGAGACCATGGCGGCGTGGCAGTACTTCAAGCACGGCGGCGGGGCTGATGCTCTCTCGGTGCGTGCCATTCCTGGGTTCAGCAACATTTCCCTGGGGGCCCCAGGAATAGCCCGCCCGAATCATCCCAGGGCTGCTGTTTGTAGTAGACGCACGTAGCTTATTTGCACCGCCATGCGATTCCATGCTTGCTTCATACTTCCGCCGCCATACTTCCCCCATGCGTCGTTGCGCCGCGACGCAGTTCTTTGTTGAAGTACGTCATGAGCGAAGCATGATCGAAGATTGGTTCGCGTTCCCGAGCGCGGAGCTGCCCTTAAGAAACTACCTAACTCTCCCCATCCGCACTCTTTCTCATTCACCAGTTGAGCGACAACGTCCCCCGCGCCCTCAGCGTGTAAGAGCGAGGCGGCGCGCCGTGCTGGTTCGCGTACGCGCGGCAAGCTTACTTTCGACTCGAATCTTTGCACCACGCCCGCCATCCCGTCACCTCAACACAAAAAAACACACAGCGCCCCCGTGGTGAAAGGCGAGGCGCTCATGAGAGAAGCTTAACGAGCGTTGCATCGTTGCTTTTGAGGCGCCTCAACCTCAAAAGCCGTGCTGAAAAGCAAGGCGCTCATGAGAGAATCTTGATGAGCATTACATCGTGAGAACGGGCGACAAGCTTAATCTCAACTTCCCCTTAATCGGCTTGCTGTTGCATTTCCCTCCCGCACCTCGTTCACTTCACCAATTGAGCGACAGCGTCCCCGTGCCCACGCCGTGCAAGGGCGAGGTGCTGATTCGAGTGTGCGCAGCGAGCAACTTCAATCAATGTTTTCTCCCCATCCCTCACTCTCCTCTCCTTCTCACTTAACCAGCTAAATGGCAACGTCCCCGTGCCCAAGCCGTGCAAGGGCGAGGTGCTGGTTCGCATGCACCAAATTCAACCTTATTGTATTCTCCCCTTCCCTCACTGCTTCTCACATCACCAGTGGAACGACAACGTCCCCGTGCCCACGCCGGGCAAGGGGGAGGTGCTGGTTCGAGTGCGCGCGGCGAGCATCAACCCGGGCGACTGGAAGCTACAATCGGGACTCATCCCCTTCCTGCCGCGCCGCTTCCCCGCCACCGCTGGTGAGAAAGCATGCTCGCAACTGTCTCATGCATTGTGCAAAGCCGGAGGCTGTAAGGGACATGGTAGATAGTTGGAAATATTGGCCGACTGGAAGGGGCACTCTAGTGGGGCTCATCCATTTCCTGCAGCTGCGATTCGCCACCACTTCTGAGGCCACCGGCTCGCCGCTTGTCCGCCTTTTTTTTCATGGCGCAGTTAAAACAACGGCGCAATAACTTCTTATTAGACAATAAGTTGTTGTCTGTCTTTTGGAATCTGCTGTCTCATCTCATGCCACCATGCAGGGTTCGACCTTGCAGGCAATGTGGTGGCAGTAGGGCCTGGTGTTACCAAGTACACTGTTGGCGAGGCAGTATTTGGACGGGCTCCATGCTTTGTACGTTCATTAAAGGCGACAATTTTGCTTTCCTTTTGTGCACCCGATCCACCTCTCTTCACCACTCTGCATCGCATTCCTCACTCATAGGATGTGAGGGCTCATATGTTTAGACTGCCTACAGTGTGGTCCACGATCACTTCTGAATCCGTTCTCAAATTCTCCTATGTTATTCCCGCACCCAACTACCCTGCAGCCACACTTCACTTCTTGTTTCAAAAACACACACCTTATGCATTCACCCATGTCTCGGTCCTCACTCCCATTCATTACCTCAGAAAATGGGCGCTCTCGCACAATATGCAGTGCTCTGCCCATCGCTGGTCTCACTGCCCTGCAAGCCGTGAGGGACTATGCTGGCCTGCCTCTCCCTGCATCCAAACCGAGTGGAGAGGAGAGTGGTGACATCAGCGGTGGTGGTAAGGCTGAGAGCAGCAGCAACAGCACTGGATACAGCAATGGGTACTGCAGTGGGAACAGCGCACGGGTGCTGGTGACGAATGCGTCAGGGGGAGTGGGGCATATGGCAGTGCAGCTGGCGAAGGCAGCAGGGGCACACGTGACTGCCACTGTCGGCGCTCGCAACCTCACCTTCGCACGGAACGTGCTTGGAGCAGATGAGGTGTTCGACTACAACTCGGCTGCAGGGAAACAACTCTTCCCTTCCCCAACCCCGTCCCCTTCGCCTGTTATCAGCTTTTCCAAACCTCATGCCGCACAGGTTGCTTCGTCTGCGGAACCTCCTAGCAGTGGACTGTATGATGCGGTAATTGATTGCTCTCCCAACAGTCTGGCTGTTTCTGCTGTGGATAGGGTTTTGCGTCCCGAGGGGAAGTGGGTGCATGTGATTCCCCCGTTCTCAGTGTTCGCTCTGGGACTTTGGCGCCGGTTTGCCGGTCGCCCGAAGAAGATATATAATGTTATGATGGAGAACAGAGGGTCTGATTTGGAGGTGGTTGGGAGGATGGTGGAGGAGGGAAAAGTGAAGGTGGTGGTGGAGAGTAGTGTGGCGTTTGAAGAGAGTGAGGCGTGGAGGAGGAGCATGGAGGGGCATGTGACAGGCAAGCTGGTGGTTAGGATGGAGTGAAGGGGTATGATGATTACAGCTAGAGCAAAATCGGCTGCACAAATGTATCCTACTGTTGTATAATTTATGTATTGGGTATAACATGTGATGTAGCTTGACCGCGCAGATTGTGTAATAATTAAACTAAACATGTTCTGATAGGCTGTGCTTGTAGCATGTCATACGCTGAAGACTGGAGTTTCCTTTTTGGGAGCTTAGACTCTGCTCAGGCTTGAACGACCTCCTACTACCTGAAATCCAGAGATTAGCCTAGCCTCCTAACACAATGGTAGCCTCCTCAGACAACGGTCCTGTGGCATTAGTGTGCTATTTTTGGGAGCATCCCAGCTTGGGTACCCGTATGTAGTGAGACAATTCATTCTGAACCATCTCATACAGGAGCACAAATATAAAACTGAAAGACATGCATGCAAGTGGTATTTCTGCACCATCGTATTCCCCTCTCACAAGCCCACTCCCCCGCTAACCCTTTCCCTTCCCAATAACCCACTCCGCTCCCATTCCACTCCCCTCACACCCACTACCACCTAACGTTCAGCCAGTCTTATGCTCAAAAGCATCTACCCACCAAGAAGCGTGTCGTCACTACCGGCGCCAACTTTTGCCTTTGAAAACCGTAGAATCGGTCCTCCACGAGTACTACAGCGGCTTTTGGGGCGGCGCCTCAGTTATTCTTCACGCCCACTTGCCTACTTGCTCTCAGCCATGAGCTTCTTGAAGTTGGTCTTGCTCGAGTACAGCGTCTGTGGCTTCCAGGCGGCGGGAATGACCTTCTCGAGGGTCTTCTCGAGGGTGTGTAACGCAGTGAGGCGAACGCTCACCGCCTTCTTCGCGCCCAAAACCGCCTTCGCCTCCTTGCCCTTGATCCCCCAGATCGCCTTGCTGCCGTCGCGGGTCAGCTTCGCCCACTTCTTGCCGTCCACGCTAATCTCGACCGCCTTGAGCGCGCCGGGGCCGGCAAGCCCCACCATCTGAATGTTGAAATTCTCTGCCGTTGAGTTGCTGCGCACGCGCACCGCCGATCCGAGGGTCGAATGGCAGTTAGTGCGCTTGTACGTGAATCTGACGGGGGTGGCGTCGGATCCCTGCACGATCTTGGACCACGAGACGGCGGAGAGCGAAATCTTCTTCTCCGTGGTGGTCGCGCCAATGACGCGGACCGTCACGGTCGCCTTGCCGCTGCGGCAGCGCTTCGTGTCGTTGGCGCAAATCACCTTGTAGCACGCGCCGCAGCGCTTGCCGAAGACAGCGGGAGGAAGCTTCACGGTGAGCCCCTTGCCGAAGTATGGGTTGGCGGTGTAGTTTCCGTAATAGGCGCATGTGGAGTTCTTTCCTAGCCCCGCGCTCTTGCTCTGCCTCGCCGTCGCCGCTATGGGGCTCATGTTAGCACCTCCAGGCGTGGTTGCGTTTGCAGACCCAATCGCGCCAGAAGCAACCGCCTTAGCCGAAGCATTCGCGTTAGCAGGCGCAGTCGCGTTGGCGGGAGCCCCAGCGGCAGAGACTCGCGCAGGGACGGAAAGGAGGACCGCAGAGGCGATGAAGACGACGAGGAAAGTGGCCTTAGCGCAAGCCATTTTAGCTTCTGTGGGAGTCCGACAAGGCTTAAACGATCGAGCTTGCAAATAATGATCAGATTTCGAGATATAGAGTGGGAAGACGTTTGTAAATGTTGGTGAGATGTGCGGTTGCGGTAGCTCCTTATAACTTCCATTCTGCTGCTTCGAGGGATGGCACCGTGAGTCGCGGGCATATGACATGGCTTGGCTGTGGGTTGGTTGGATTTCATGCAGTCCGAGTCGCACGAGTTTTGAGGGATTGATCATTGAGACGAATAATTGCGTTTTGGGTGCGTGAGCTTGCGAGCAAGCGACGACCAGCAGCGTTTTCGCGAGTGATGGCAGACCCTGTTCACGAAATGACGAACACAGGATATGGAATCGTACAATGCTCGCGAATAATAATCGTGACGGAAGCATGCCCCACCCACACATTCATTTTCTGGCGCACTCGACGGCGCGATAGGCGCGAAGCTGCGGCATGGTGTGTTCGGTGATTGTACTGTACTGTGGTAAATAACAAGTCACTATTCCAAACAATACTATCTTCACGCAACTTCTGTTGACCCATTTCTAAGAACACTCTGTTATGACATATCCCACCCACCATTGCACATTTGGCTTTTGTTACGGTATGATGTCCAAAAGGCAAGAAGACAGTGTAACCTCATGACGAAAAACATGACACGGATTTACATTCGTAATATAGCACACGCTTCTTCAACGTCGCGTTATTCCATATCCCATTTACTCGAAGCCCCCAGTATGCACTCTCCTTTCCGCAAGCAACACAATCACATCGCTCTCCATAATAAGTTAAACATCCCATCGCCCTCCATTATAAGTTACGTTTTCTGGGAGAAGGTTGGCTCCCCCTTTATTGAGCCTGCAGCGAGTCCTGCAGCCGAAACAGCCTCACCACCAAATCGTCCATGCTGGGTTGAGTTGGGTACGCATATGGGGTCGTCCTGTATGATTCCTTAGCCAACGCATCCAACATGCGCACCACCATGAGCCTCACAGCACTCCACCGTGCAACACCACCCTCCACCGTAGCAGACCCCTGCCTGCGGCCCTTTAAAACTCCCCCCTACTGCGCCTGCAGCGAATCCTGCAGGCGGAACAGCCTCACCACCAAATCCTCCATACTGGGTCGGCACCTCGGGTCATCCTGCATGCACTCCTTAGCCAGCACATCGAGCATGCGCACCACCATGCGCCGCGTAGCGCTGCCGCACTCCGCGCTGCGAGCGAGGTCGTCAGTGTAGGGCTCGGCCCAGTCAAAGAGGGCCTCTGCTCCGTGCTGCTGCGCCGTGCTGTGTGCTCCCTGCCGGCCCGTGAGCAGCGAGAAGAGTACTACTCCAAAGTCAAACGCGTCCTTCCCCATGCCCTCCGCTCCTGGGACAGAGGAGGGGGATCCGGGGGGTTTGGGGGTGGTGGGGGAGAGGCAGAACGGAAGGGGAAGGGAGGAGGAATGGGGGTGAGAAGGAGGGGAGGGGGCAAGGAAGCGAGCAGCAAGGTCGTCAGTGTAGGGCTCGGCCCAGTCAAAGAGGGCCTCTGCTCCGTGCTGCTGCGCTGTGCTGTGTGCTCCCTGCCGGCCCGTGAGGAGAGAGAAGAGCACCACGCCAAAATCAAACGCGTCCTTCCCCATGCCCTCCGCTCCTGACAGACAGACGGGGACGAGAGGGGGACGGGAGCGGGGGAGAAAGGCGGAACGGAAGGAGAGGGGAGTAGGGGTGAGATGGAGGGGAGGGGGCAAGGAGGCAGTTGGGGAGGTCGTCAGTGTAGGGCTCGGCCCAGTCAAAGAGGGCCTCTGCGCCGTGCTGCTGCGCCGTGCTGTGTGCTCCCTGCCGGCCCGTGAGCAGCGAGAAGAGTACTACTCCGAAGTCAAACGCGTCCTTCCCCATGCCCTCCGCTCCTGATGGCAATGGAGAGGGGTGGGATGGGGGTGGAGGGGTGGAGGGGTGGGGAGGAAGGGAGGGGGCAAGGTGGGAAGCCGGGAGCAGCGAGAAGAGCACTGCTCCGAAGTCAAACGCGTCCTTCCCCATGCCCTCCGCTCCTGATGGCAATGGAGAGGGGTGGGATGGGGGTGGAGGGGTGGAGGGGTGGGGAGGAAGGGAGGGGGCAAGGTGGGAAGCCGGGAGCAGCGAGAAGAGCACTGCTCCGAAGTCAAACGCGTCCTTCCCCATGCCCTCCGCTCCTGACACAGGGGAGGGGGACGGGGGAGGGTTTGAGAGGTAGCCGGGGAGAGGCAGAACGGAAGGCGAGGAGAGGTGTGAGAAGGAAGGGAAGAGTCAAACGAGTCCCATCCTGCACCCACCATTCTTCGGGGTGCGAGGGAGACCGGGGGGAGAGGAAGGTGTGAGGGGGACCGGGGGGAGAGGAGGGGGCGAGGGAGACCGGGGGGAGAGGAGGGTGCGAGGGAGACCGGGGGGAGAGGAGGTGCGAGGACGTGGAACAAGGAAGGGACAAGTCAAGAGAGTCCGGCTGGTTACACAGTTACCTCGCTAAGAATGCCACACAGGGCCGAAGAGCACTCAACCCCGAGGCTCTTCTTAGGGCGTATTTCACTTCGTGTCAGGAATACCGTTCGTGCCATCCGGGAATCTTGGAACCCATGAATCTAGACGAATTTCAGGGTTTCCAGTACACTTCGCACTTGGAGTGCCTGGATTCGAAGACTCTTGAATGCACGTGTGTACCGTGAATTTTTGAGACATCTAAAAAAATCACTGTACACATTTTGAACTTGGAATGCCTGGATACCAAGACTCTCAAATGACACGAACAGTATTATTCGTGACACAAACTGAAATATGATCTTAGACAACCCTAGCTAGTACTGCCGCCAGTCTATCGCCGGTGAGCAGCGGCAGTAGAGAAGCTAGTCAAGCTGTCATCAACCCACCGTGCCACAAAGTACACTCACCCTTGAGGGTCTTCTTGGACGACCCTTTGCCGCCAGCGAGTCAAGAAAGTCAAGCAAAGTCAAGCGAGTGAGGGGAAGGGTCAAGTCAACTCACCCTTGAGGGTCTTCTTGGACGACCCTTTGGCCAGTATTGCTAGTGAGTCAAGCAAGTCAAGATAGTCAAGCGAGGTGAGAGAAAACAAGAACTCACCCTTGAGGGTCTTCTTGGACGACCCTTTGGCCAGTATTGCTAGTGAGTCAAGCAAGTCAAGATAGTCAAGCGAGGTGAGAGAAAACAAGAACTCACCCTTGAGGGTCTTCTTGGACGACCCTTTGGCCAGTATTGCCGCCAGCCCATAGCCCGTCAGCAGAGCCGTGTAGCTCTGTAGAGAGACAAGGGAGAGGTAAACAAAGGAACGACAGGAACATGAAGGGTGGGTGGGAGGCACATGAAACACGTGAGTGACTGGGTAGAAGGCATTGGAAAGGCATGGGAGGGAACATTTGATTATGGACTGAACACCCTTTACTACCATCCTTTTTCACACTTGATAAGAACACCCAATACTCGTTACAAGCACGCCACTCACCGAATCCAGCATGACATTGCAGCACATGAGGTTGCCGTGAACCACCGACTTGGAGTGCAGGTAGGCCAGCCCCTTGGCCACTCCTATCGCCACCTTCACCCTGACTCGCAGAGGAAGAAAGTCACCATCCACGCCCTCTGTATGGAGCGAAAAAAGGTTGAGAAATGAGGAGACAAACGAGACAAAGGAGTTGAGGGCATAGGGCAATGAGAAAAAAGGTTGCCGTGAACAACCGACTTGGAGTGCAGGTAGGCCAGCCCCTTGGCCACACCTATCGCCACCTTCACTCGCACCCTTAGAGGCAGGAAGTCACCGTCCACCCCCTCTGGTGTTTGGGGGAGGGGGAAACGGGGAGGAAAGCGGGAGGGGAAGGGGGGAGGAAGTGGGAGAGGGAAGTGAATGGGAGGGACGGGCTGGTTGTATTCACATCAGCCGCTTGGCCACGCCTATCGCCACCTTCACTCGCACCCTCAGAGGCAGGAAGTCACCATCAACTCCCTCTGGAGTGATAGGGAGTGGATGGGGGGGAAGAGAAGCGAATGGGATGGGAGGGATGGTTGAGTTCACATCAGCCGCTTGGCCACGCCTATTGCTACCTTCGCTCGCACCCGCAAGGGAAGGAAGTCAATATCCACTCCCTCTGGAAGAATAGGGGGAGAAAGGGGACTAAGCAGAGAGGGTCAGCAGGTAAGGGTAACCAGTTGTTTTCTTGTCCGTTTCGGTTCACAATGTAACGTATATCTAGACCTTACCCCACAAATCTCATACCCCCCCAAATCGTATGTTTCCAGTTCAGCTTGAAACGTGGTGACATCAGCAAAAGTAGGCGTTAACCATACCCCCAACCATGTATTCAAAACTCAGGACGCACCTGGGAAGAGGTAGTTCTCAAGGGAGGCGGAGTTGGGCGGGAGATCGTATGCGATCTGCACGTCGTCCTTCTCCAGCGCATAGCCCAGGATCTCCGCCAGGTTGGCATGTTGGAGTGCAATGAGAGCTTGAATCTCCTTCTGTTGTGTGAAAGGGAGAAGCGGAGGGAGGGGTGAGGGGGTTGAGGGGAATGGAGGAGGGAGTTGGGGGGGAGGTCGTATGCGATCTGCACGTCGTCCTTCTCCAGCGCATAGCCGAGGATCTCCGCCAGGTTGGCGTGCTGGAGGGCGATCAGGGCTTGGATCTCCTTCTGATGGATGGGATGCAGGCATGTGCAGGGGAGGACATGTGGGGAATAAGATATGTATCTGCACGTCGTCCTTCTCCAGCGCATAGCCCAAGATCTCCGCCAGATTGGCGTGCTGGAGTGCTATCAGCGCCTGAATCTCCTTCTGTTGGATGCAGACATGTGTGAGGGAGGGAGCCATGACGGGTGGTTGAGTGGGGGGGCGGGAAGGGGGGACGGTGAGCAAGGAGGAGCGGGGAGGGAGGTCGTATGCGATCTGCACGTCGTCCTTCTCCAGGGCATAGCCCAGAATCTCCGCCAGGTTGGCGTGCTGCAATGCTATCAGCGCTTGAATCTCCTTCTGTTGCATGCAGACATGTGCAGGGGGGAGGAGGGGATGATGGGGTGGGGAGTGGGTGGTGGGGTCGTATGCGATCTGCACATCGTCCTTCTCCAGCGCATAGCCCAGAATCTCCGCTAGATTGGCGTGCTGCAGTGCAATGAGGGCTTGAATCTCCTTCTGTTGCATGCAGGCAAGCGCAGGGGAGAGGGGCATAGGGGAGTGGGGGGAAGGAGGGAGGGGGAGGGGATAGGGTGGGGAGAGGGGCCGTATGCGATCTGCACGTCATCCTTCTCCAGGTCAGAGCCCGGGGTCTCGGCCAGCTCGTCGTGCTGGAGCCTGGAGGGCTATCAGCGCCTGGATCTCCTTCTGACGCATGCAGAGATGTTAGAGGTAGGAGGGCATTACCGGATGGGGAGTTGGGCGGGGAGGAAAGGTCGTATGCGATCTGTCATTCTCCAAGGCATAGCCTAGGTCTTGGCCAGCTTGGCATGCGTTTTTTATTTGGAGTTTTCAGAAATCGCTGTGAGCCTACATAAGAGGCGCAATAATAGGATGGGAGCTCTCACCATCTTATTCTTCTTTCCCAACGTGGCAAACAGAAACTTCTTGGCCGTTTCACGCAGTGGCGACGACAGTGCCATAAGAGGCAATTTCGACCCCCCTCCCCCCCCCGCGGGTACTTTTGAGGCGCCTCAACATCATGTCAGCTTACCATCTTATTCTTCTTCCCCAGAGTAGCAGACAGAAACTTCTTGGCAGATTCAGGCAGCGGCGACGACGGTGCCATGAGAGGCGACTTCGACCCTCCCCCTCCCCTCGGCGACTTTCCCCCTCCTCCTCCCCCTCTTGGAGACTTCGCCCCTCCTCCTCCTCGAGGGGACTTGGCCCCTCCTCTTCCCTCTCCGCCCACCTCCTCCTTTGTCTTGGAGTGCGGGAGCCCAAGCATGAGCGCTGCCAGGTCCAAAGACCTCGACTTGGGGATTCTTCCCGGCTGCTTCGTAGGAGCTTCTTCCTGCGACCGCTCCCTTGCATGGCCTCGATCCCCCTCGTGTTTCCCCCCACGCTCCCCCCCACGCTCCCTCCCATGCCCTCCCCCTCGCTCCCCCTCATGCTCCCCACCATGCCCGCCCCCCCGCCCACGCCCATGCCCACTCCCCGGCCGGTCTCGGCTGCTCTCCCCATGTGCTCGGGCATACCCTTGCCGATGCTCCCCCTGCTCCTCCTCCCCATCCTCCAACTCGTCATCCTCCCAGTGTCCCTCGTCGTGGGGGTCTGGACGATGGGGGTTTGATTGATGAGAGTCTGGTCTTCGAGAGTCTACATCGCACTCCTCCTGCCCGTACATCTCACGGCTCTGTGGTGATAACGGCGCTCCGTACTCGTCGTCCTCCTCCTCCTCTTCTCTCTCCCTTTCTCTTCCCTGCTGCTGCTCCCGCTGCTGCTGGTGCGACTGCTGATTCCGAAGGCGCGACTGCTGGTGGTGCTGCTGCTCCTGCTGCAAGCTTCGCCTCTCCGGCCTCTGCTGTTTGGGCTGCTTCAGCTGGTTCGGCTGCTCCTTGCCGCGCCGCTCCTGCTCCCGGCTGCTCTGCCCGCTCTCGCTCCGTCTAAACAGCCCCCTCTTTCCTCCGCTGTCCCCCTCCCCTCTGCTCCTAGGCCTTCCCCCCGGTGTGGTCGGCGTTTTGGGCGTTGTCGGAACTTCCCCTCCGGAAACGGTCTTAGAGTGCGGAAGGAACCCTCTGAGCGCACGGGCAGCAGGCTTGGGGGAGAGAAGCTGAGAAGAGACACTTGGAGCAGAAGCACCACCACCAGCACCCCCACCACCCCCCCCACCACCACTACCACCACTACCAAACCTACCACCACCACTCCCCTCACTCTCCCTATCCGACTCCTCTCCCCCCATCCACCTCCTCCCAAACCCTCCTTCCAGCTCCCCTTCTTCCTCTTCTTCTGTACTCTCCACCCTCTCGACTCCCCTCCTCCCCCTCGCCATTCCAGCCACTGCTGCTGGTACAGCAGACAACGGTGCCTCTGCTTCCGTCCCCCCTGCTTCCCTCCCTCTGGAACCTTCCTGTTGGCTTCCTTCCGAGCCTGATTCAGAAGGCAGGTTCGCGAGATTCATGTCAGATTTCGAGCGGACCGGCGGGAATTTCGGGCGCCAGAAATCTTTCTGGAAAACGTTTATTCCGCCCGGGATTCGCGGCGAGAGCATGGGGAACGCAGCCACAGAGGAGGTTCTAGGGGTCGAAGCACCACCACCACCACCACCACCCCCATCTGCAGCAGCAGCAGCAGCAGCTTCAGGAGATGTGATAGACCCACTGCGTGTGTGTGTTTTGGGAGAAAGAGGGGCTCTCAGCTGGTCTTTCTCATGCTGCTGCTGTGACTGCTGCTGCTGCTTCTGCTGCTGCTGTTGCTGCTGCTGCTGCTTGTGCTGCTGCTGTTGCTGCTGCGGCCCCCCTCCCCTTCCGCTCCCTCCTCGCCCCAACAGTCTCATCTCACCAGATTTACTCCCAACTGCTTGCACAGGCTGTGGCTGGGCGTGTGAGGAACCTTCCCGGAAGGAAGAGGAGCGGGAGGTTGGGGTGGAGGCGGAGGTCGAGGAGGAGGTGGAGGAGGTTCGGGAGAAGGAGGGTCGGCTGCTCGAACCTGACCCGGCTCGGCCGAACGTGGGGAAGCCTCGGAGACTGCCTGAAGCTGTGGCTGCTGCTGCTAAAGCTGAAGGAAGGGGAGAGGGGTTGATGGGGAGAGGGGTTGAGGGGGAGAGGGGGGAGAGGGGTAAAGCCAGGGGAGAGAGGGGAGAGGGAAGAGAACGGTGGACAAAGAGAGGAGGAAGCTGGGTGAGGCGGTTGCTGCACATACATGACGGCCTGGCCAGACTGCCCACCGCCTGCAGCGCCTGTGAGGGGATGGGTGGGCGGGCGTTCCCCTCCCCTCACAGAGTCAATCAAGAGTCAAGACTCACCCTGCTGTCTGATGGTCTTGAGACGCCTCACCACCTCCCCCATGGCGGGGCGGTCCTTAGGGAGGCGCTGCACACACATGGCAGCGAGACTGGGGCTGTCTTACCCTGCCCCCCACATGCCACACCCCACAGTCAATCAAGAGTCAAGACTCACCCTGCTGCCGAATGGTCTTCAACCTTCTCACCACCTCCCCCATGGCAGGGCGGTCTTTGGGCAGGCGCTGCACACACATGGCGGCCAGGCTGCCCACCGCCTGCTTGCAGTGCCTCCACATGCCACAACCATTACTCACCTTGCTGTCTGATGGTCTTCAGCCTTCTCACCACCTCCCCCATGGCAGGGCGGTCCTTGGGCAGGCGCTGCACACACATGGCGGCGAGACTGCCCACCGCCTGCAGCGCCTGCGGGGTGCTCGACTCCAGCAGCACTGGGTCTGCTACTGAGTCCGTGTGGCCGCTGCAGATGGCGGGGGTGGCCTGAGAGTGTGGGGAGGTGCAAGGAGGGGAAGGGGGGAGGGGGGAAAGCCAGCAAGGGACAGAGGGGTGAGATGTGACTCCAGCAGCACTGGGTCCGCTACTGCGTCCGTGTGGCCGCTGCAGATGGCGGGGGTGGCCTGAGAGTGGGGGCGGGGTGGGGGCGAACAGAAGGGGATTTGGGGATTTGGGCAGCGAGCAGGAGAGATTGCGCATGAGACAGAGAACGCCACCCTCTCCCCAGCCCAATTGACCCCTCCCCCCAATCCCCCCTCTCCGCCACTTCATTTCCTATTCCCCCTCTCCCCCTAATTTATGAGAATTCAGAAAAACGCACCCATGCGAGCGCCATCCTCTCTCCACAATCATTTGATTGACGCTTTCCCATCCCCCCCTCTCCTCGCCCCACCTCCCATTCTCACCCCCTTAATTCCCCCTCACTCACCCATTTGGCGAGCGCCATCCTCTCGCCGGCATCATCGACTCCTTGAGAACGGGCGCACTGCCTGCCCCCTTACCAACTTGCCCTTTTAACCAATCAAATGTTTTCCCTTCACCCCACCCCTCTCCACCCCACTCACTCACCCATTTGGCGAGCGCCATCCTCTCTCCGGCGTCGTCTGACTCCTTGAGGACGGGCGCATTGCCAGTGATCAGCTCCAGAAGGAGGTGCTTTAGACTGCAGCAGTAGGGGAGCCGCTAAAGACATGGGATCTGCTTCAGCGTGGCCACTGCAAAAGACAGGGATGGCGAGGCCCCTCGCCAGGGGCGCCAGCCATTCTCTCCCTGGCTTGGAGTCAGTTGACTCCTTGAGGCTCCTGCCTGTCCTCTTAACCATTTGTCCCGTTCTCCTCACCTCACCCAAAACCATCTCTCCCCCTCGCCCCACTCACCCATTTGGCGAGTGCCATTCTCTCTCCCGCGTCATCTGACTCCTTGAGGACGGGCGCATTGCCTGCCCACTTCAACATTGCCCTTTTAGCCATTGAATGTTGTTCCTTCACCCCACCCCTCTCCATCTCCCCCACTCACCCATTTGGCGAGCGCCATCCTCTCTCCCGCGTCGTCTGATTCCTTGAGGACGGGCGCCTTGCCTGTGATGAGCTCTAGAAGCACCACTCCAAAGCTGCCACGTGGCATGCACACAGATAGAGGTATACAATTGGACAAGGTGCAAGACATGGCAACCAAGTGAATTTCTTTATATAAAAAACAGAGAGTAAGAAACCCATGAGAAACCCATGAGAATTTATTTACTGCTGGTCCGGCAGTACTGGCGCATCCAGGTAGCCCGGTGTGTCAGTCAGGGGTTCGCCAGCCCAGCATGAACATACACACAAACACATCAATTTCCCAATGCCTACCTGTACACATCAGAGCGATCAGACACAATGCTGGTCTGGCAGTACTGCGGGTCCAGATAGCCCGGTGTGTCGACCACTCGCGTGTGCGTGGGAGACGTGGACTCGTCACACGCGTGCACAGGTGAAGCACTCTATTCATTGCATCCCTACCTACCTGTAGACGTCAGAGCGATCAGACACGATGCTGGTCTGGCAGTACTGCGGGTCCAAATAGCCCGGCGTGCCGACCACTCGCGTGTGCGTGGGCGACGTAGACTCGTCGCTGATCTCCTTCACGTTGCCAAAGTCGCCTAGCTTCGGCTGGAGGAAGGGTAGACGATAGGGCGAGGGCAGCAGGAGTGTGAGAGTGTGAGACAAGGAAGAAATGGAAAGTGGGTGATGGTGGTGTGGGAGACGTGAACTCTTCGCTGATCTCCTTCACATTCCCAAAGTCCCCTAGCTTCGGCTGGAAATGAGGGGGTTGGTGTGAGTGAGGGGGGCGGTGATATGGATGAGAGGCGAGGGAAATTGTATTAGGGATAAAGGAGTGACGGAAGTAGGAGTGTGAGAGTGTGAGGCGGGGAAGATGGGGAAAGTGAGTGAGTGAGTGGGGTAGAAGACCCGGACTCATCACTAACCTCCTTCACATTGCCAAAGTCCCCTAGCTTCGGCTAGAAGGACGATAGAGTAGGGGGAAGGAAGAATGTGATTGGTCATAGAGTAAGGAAGTAAGGAAGTACGGGAAGCAGGTTAGATAGGGAAGATGGGGGGTTGTGGGTTTGTTGAAGATCCAACAGACAAGAGAGAACAAGCACAAGTTGCCACATGCATAACAATTCACTCACATGCAGGTTGAGTTTGTTGTTGCTACATACACAATCCAGCGGATATGCGTCTGGTACATTCCAAGCTCACCGAAACCATGTGACTCATAGAGGTTGCTTTTAGAACTCTCTCTCAAAAGCACTCACGCAAAACTCATTGTCCAGGAAGGAACACGTTGAGAGTCTTCACATGACGGTGAATGATGGCCGGGTGCGACCCATGCATGTACTGCGGCGCCTCTGCAACTCCCAGCACAATCTCCAGGCGCTTGTCAAACGAGAGCATGCCAATTTCCCGTTCCCCCCGCCCTTCCTCAGCTCTATGGCCGCCTGTAGGGATGAGCAACTTCACGAACGCCTGTTCGGTTCGCCTCGAACATGTTCGAGGCGAACCGAAGAGGCATTTTTTTTTGCCTAAATCGTTCGGGACGAACGTGTTCGGTGTTCGCTCGAACACGTTCGCCGTTCGCCAAGGACATTTGGCGGCGGGTCGAACACGAACATGTTCGTGTTCGACGGGGGGGGGCGACGAACACCAATGTTTTCGTCGACAAATTTGGCCGCGACGAAATTTAGGTCGCGGCCGTTTTGAGTTTCAGCTCATGTTTTGAGCTCAAACTCAAAACGCCTTTAGCGCTTAGCCCTCCCACAACCGCCATAGCCTTACCGTTTGAAGAGGCACCACACGCCATTCCTGAAGTTTTACACGGACATTTCCTAAACCTAGTCCGTAGTTTAGGGTAATTTCGTCAAAATTAAGGTTGTTAGCTAGAGGTTCAAGCTTGGAGCGGTCAATTCGTTAGTAGAAGGGGCGGGTTTTTCTCCGTGCCGCACGTACCTAGGTAGGTACATTAGGACCGTGCTATTCGTGGCACGCGACCGTTACTTTGGGGTTTTAGTGTGTCAGTGTGCGTGACTTCTAATTGTTAACGGGAATAGGGAATTGGCTCCGCCCTCGCGTGGGCGAAGCCGATGTAGTGGTCGGGTGCGCGGGAGGTGCGGCCGACCATCCGCAGAAGTCGACGCGTGCAGGTCAACGCAGTTGGTTAACCTGCAGAATACTGCTGCGAAGCCGCCGACGATGGGAAGCCGGCGGCAGATTTCGACTGGCATGGTCGATGAAGGTGGCCGTCGATCTGCGCGGGACCGTCGAAGAGGCCGTCGACGGTGGATGTTCGACGGCTGCAGCTGACCAAGTTGGTCGACGGAAGGGCCAGTCGACCAGGGTGTTCTTCGACGGGCGAGTGGTCAACGAGGGAGGCCGTCGACCAGGGCGCCGGGTGGTCGACCCGGTCGACCAAGTAACCTCCTCGACGAGGTTTTGCGGAGGCACACGAGGCTCATCGAGGCTGCGATGGCGAAGGCGACCTCGGGCTGGTATCCCGAGGTCGACGTGGAGCGTCAGGCGCAACCGTCGGAACGTGGACGACTTGGGAACCGCGCGACGGTAGACAACGTGCTCGACCGTCGCTGCGCACCTGCGAAGTGGGTGCGCACCTGCGTTACTGTCACCTGCAAGTGCAACGTTGGCAGACCGCCTTGGTGCAGCGTTGGCAGACCGCAGACTTGCTCTGTTGGCATGTCGCCTTTCTGCAACGCTGGCGCGGTTCCTCTACGCAACGCTGGCAGATGTCGACCTTGCTGTGCTAGCAGTCGACCAGCTTGCCTGCTAGGTTGCTAGGGTCTGATGTAGTCATTTCTTCAATTGCTTGTTCAATCATTCTGTGAAACTCTTGCCAATTCTTCCTGTGAATGTGCGAGTGCTAGAAAACGCAGGCAAAGCTACGATCACTCACACAATCCGTGCCAACCCCATGGTCTAGCTCCCGACCGTTGTAGAATGAATATCCGCACTAACAACCAGACTCACATGCAGGTCGTTATCGAGGAACACGTTGAGAGTCTTCACATCGCGGTGAATGATCGCCGGGTGGCACCCATGCATGTACTGCAGCGCCTCTGCAACCCCCAGTGCCACCTCCAGGCGCTTGTCAAACGACAGCATGCCGCCGGGCTTCCCTTCGATAGCAGCCTCGCCCCTGATAGGCGCGATGTGCTGGCGCAGGTTGCCGTTGGGCACAAACTCGTAGATGAGCAGAAGCTCCTCTCTTTCCTCGCAGTACCCCAGCAGCCGCACCAGGTTGGGGTGGCGCAGCTGCGACACTGCATGGATCTAAGAGGGGGGGACGGGGGGGGGGGGGGGAGGAGGGGGAGGGGAGGTAGGGGAGGAGGGGGAGACGGGGACAGAAGCAGGGGGGCACAGGGAAGGGGGAAGGGGAGGGAATGAGGAGTGGAGGCGTGGATGGGGGTGGTGGTGGCCGCCTCGCCCCTGATGGGTGCGATGTGCTGGCGCAGGTTGCCGTTGGGTACAAACTCGTAGATGAGCAGCAGCTCCTCTCTTTCCTCGCAGTACCCCAGCAGCCTCACCAGGTTGGGGTGGCGCAGCTGGGACACTGCATGGATCTTGTATGTGGGGAGGGAGGGGGGGGAGGAGGGGAGAGGAGAACGGGGGGGAGATAGCACAGAGAGTGAGGGAAGTGGAACAGGGAATGGAGGGGCAACGGAGGGGGTGGAAACGTATCGTTCTGAGTTTACCTAAAACGCATCTCTCTCACCTCTTTCTCGTAGTCTTTTTGCCGGCTGATCCCGCCCTTCTTCCCGCGTTTCACAGCCCACAGCTGCCCGTCCGCCCCACACCCCCAGTACACCACCGCCGACCCGCCCTCGCCTAGCTTTGCCTCCTCCGCCCACTCCTGTGTCACCCTCTCTTCTGTGTGGCCTTCCCTTCCTCCTCCTCACCCACCTTCAGTACGAAAATGCAAATAAGCAATCAAAAGACACCTTTCTCACCTCTTTCTCATGGTCTTTTCGCCTGCTGATCCCGCCCTTCTTCCCACGTTTCACAGCCCACAGCTGCTCGTCCGCCCCACACCCCCGGTACACCACCGCCGACCCCCCTACCCCAGTTTGCCTCCTCCGCTCCGCCCACCCCTGCGTCGCCCTCTCCCGCCCAGCTTTGCCTCTCTCCTCAATCCACGGTCCACCCACCCACACACCCACCTTCATTCAGAAAAAGCAAACAGAAATCCCTTGCTCACCTCTTTCTCGTAGTCCTTCAGTCGAGAGATCCCGCCCTTCTTCCCGCGCTTGACAGCCCACAGCTGCCCGTCCGCCCCACATCCCCGGTACACCACCGCCGACCCCCCTTCCCCCAGCTTTGCCTCCTCCGCCCACCCCTGCGTCGCCCGCTCCACCTCCTCGTACGGAATCGCCTTGGCTGGTTCAAGCTCTTCCAGGTCTGTGCCGTCAGGTACGGATTCGAGTCGCTTGGCGAAGGATCGGCGCAGGAGGGCTTGGTGTTTCGTGCCCCTGCCTCCGGCTCCTCCCATACCCGCCCTCCCTGCTGCTCCTGCTCCTGCTCCTCCTCCTCCTCCTCCTCCTGCTCCTGATCCGGCTCCTCCTGCTCCTCCTGCTGCTGCTGCTCCTGCGCCTCCTGCTGCTCCTGCTCCCTTTCCTATCCCTCCTATTATCGGCATCCTCCCCGGAAGCTCCAGCACCACTCCCCCTCCCCCTCCATCTCCACCTCCCGCCCCTCCGCCTCCCCCAGCCAACCCTCCCACCCCCGCGCCCCCGCTCCCCCCAACACTCCCCCCACTCCCCACAAACTGCCCGCGCCCCTGCTTCATCTCCAGCCTAGCCCCCCCCTCCACAGCCCACGCCAACTGCTCGCCCACCCGCCTCTCCGCCTCAAATCTCACCTCTGGGAGAGTAACCGCCATGAGCAGAGACTTATCAGAGGATCTCAGCATCGCGTGCTGCGAGGAAGGGGCGCCTATGGAGTGCAGCAGGCGCTTCACTGACACCTCGCTGGGGATACTATCCACAGGGGACGTCCCGTTCCAGGCTACAAACCAGGAGAAATCGCTCATGGAGTCGATTCGAACGGTCGCGCCGAGCGGGAACGAGGAGGAGAAGGAGCAGGCAGCGGCGGCAGAGGAGGAAGCGGAGGAAGGGGAGGAGGAGGGGGAGGGGGAGGAGTTAAGGTTTGCCTCGCGACGGTCAGGGAGGAAGAGGTCTCGTACGTCGTCTAACCCGTCGTCCCACAGGATAAGCTCGTCTCCCACTGCTGGGACTACCCGCGTGTGCTTTCGCACTGTCAGCCGCCCGGAAACCCTAGCGCTTGTTGCAGGGGCGGTGGTGGTGGTGGGTGTGTTGGTGGTGATGGCGGTGCCTTTGGTGCCGGTCGCTGCTGCAGCGTCTGCTGAGGTGTTGGGATCAATACCTGCCGCTGTAGCTTCAATGGTACCACCGCCCTCGGTTCTACCTCCCTCTGCGCTGCTTCTACCGCCACTGCCGGCACTGCCACTGCTGCCACTGCTGCCATTGCTGCTCAAGCTACTCACACTGCTAATCCCCGTGCTGCTGCTGCCACCACCGCTGCACTCACTACCTCCTCCCCTCCTACCCTCACCTCCCACGCAAAAATCGCACAACCTACCAGCAACACCAGCACCAGCACCACCAGCACCACCAGTGCCACCCTCCGCTGTAACCACCTGATTATTCTCCTGGATCACCAGCTGCATGGCTCGACCCAGCAAGGCATACTGGGCCAAGACAGGGGCGAGTGTGATCGCCACATCGTACACCGTCCGTTGGGACGCCTCCCACACTGCTTGCACCTCGTCCGTCAGATCTTCCAGCAGATCCTCCAATGGCGCGGCGGCAATGCGGTAGGACTCAACGTCCCAACGGGAGGGAGAGGGGGAGGGGGAGGAGGAAGGGTGGCACCCGTTGGCAGTGGCAGGGGGGGGCTTATTGGCAGGTTCGGCGTTGGCAGCGGCAGGTTCGGCAGCAGCAGCGGCGGCGGCGGCAGGTTCGGATGTGGATCGCAGGGCTTGGGAGTCGAGTTCGGCTCGAAGAGCAAAGGTGCGGAAGGCAAAGAGGGGTACCCTGCGAGGGTCGCCCTGTGAGGTTGGGTGGGGTGGTGGGGGGTGGGGGTTGTGTGGGGTTGGGGGGGTGGGGGGATGGGGGCAAGAGGAGGAAAGACAGGAGTAGCAGTCGAGTTGGGCGCGAAGAGCGAAGGTGCGGAAGGCAAAGAGAGGCACCCTGCGAGGGTCGCCCTGTGGTGGGGAGGGGGGAGGGTGTGGTGGGGTCGCCCTGAGGCGGGAGGCGGGGTGAAAGTAGGAAGGGAGGGGTGGGGAGACGGGCTGAGCTGAGCAGTCGAGTTCAGCTCGGAGTGCAAAGACGCGGACGGCAAAGAGAGGCACCCGTGGTTTATGTGAAAGAGTTGCCCTGTGGCCCGTGGGTTGCGGGGAGGAAAGGGGGAGTTGACATAAACCCGGGGAGGGGAGGAAACAAAAAACGAACTAAACTAAACTAAACTGAATCAAACTGAACTAAACTAAACTAACTAAACTAGGCCAGGGAGAGGGGGAGAGCGACTGGACTTATGAGACGTCTCATAAGGGAGGCACAGGCGCGGAAGGCAAAGGAGGAACCTCTGAGGGTCTCACTGTCCCCTGTCTCCTCCCCCTTCTCCCCTCTCCGCTACCTTCCATTCCCCCCCCCCCCTCCTCTCAACATGCGAACTCCATTTATCTTCTCACCTTGGGATCATTATATATCATCATGGCAGCCCTAACCCCCGTGGCCTGCGCACTCAGCCGCATTTCCCTCAGCTCCGTGCGGAAAGGCACCTCAACCACTCCCAACCCAGCCCAACCTCCCCTCCCCTCTCCGTTCGCCTTCCCCCCTCTCTCCTCCTCACCTTGGGAACCGTATCATCATCATGGCAGCCCTGACCCCCATGGCCTGGGCGCTAAGCCGCATCTCCTTGAGCTCCGTGCGGGACAGCACCTTGCCACCCCAACCCAACCCAACCCAACCCAGCCCAACCCAACCTCCCCTCTCAAACCATCCCACTCCTCCTCACCTTGGGAACCTTATCAATCATCATCATGGCAGCCCTAACCCCCATAGCTTGGGCGCTCAGCCGCATTTCCCTCAGTTCTGTGCGAGAGGGCAGCTTGCCGCGGGTGAGCGGGCGCAGGCACGACCGGTACCGGAGGTGCAGGATGCGCACTGCCTTCTCTAGACCGTCCAGATCGGCCGGGTCGAGGATCGGACGGCTCACAGCGCCTGAGGGTGGGGTTCAGGGAGGAGTGTAGGAGGGCAGGGGAGGAGAGTCGGGCGTGGGAGGGGACGGTTGAGGGAGGGGAGAGGGAGCAGGGAGAGGGGAGATGGGGGCGGAGAGTAGAAAGGCATAGCAAGGTACGGCAGGTGCAGAATTTGCATTGCACTGCCTTCTCAACACCCTCTAGCTGAAAAGCACCCACAGCTGCGCTACTGACAGGGTATCGAACAAAACGGTTGCGGGAGGGGATAGGTAAGGGAGAAGGGAGAGGGGGAGTGGAAGGGTGTTTCTTCTAGGTATGGAAGTTGCAGGATGTGCAGTGGCTTATCTAGACCGTCCAGCTAGACAGCATCCACAGCTGTGCTACTGACAGGGCGTGGGATGGGAGGGTTGGGGAGGGAAGAAGGGGGGCGATGGAAGGGCGACCATTAGGTGCAGGATGTGCAGTGGCTTCTCTAGACCGTCCAGCTAGACAGCATCCACAGCTGTGCTACTGACAAGGCGTGGGATGGGAGGGTTGGGTAGGGAAGAAGGGGGGCGATGGAAGGGCGACCATTAGGTGCAGGATGTGCAGTGGCTTCTCTAGACCGTCCAGCTAGACAGCATCCCGAGCTGTGCTACTGGCAGGGCGTGGGATGGGACGGTTGGGGACGGTGGAGGGGAGAGGGGAGAGGGGAGGAAAGAAGAAAGAGGGGAGAGGAGAGAGGGTAGAGGGGAGAGGGGAGAGGGTAGAGGGGAGAGGAGAGAGGGTAGAGGGGAGAGGAGAGAGGGTAGAGGGGAGAGGGGAGAGGGTAGAGGGGAGAGGGGAGAGGGTAGAGGGGAGAGGGGAGAGGGTAGAGGGGAGAGGGGAGAGGGTAGAGGGGAGAGGGGAGAGGGTAGAGGGGAGAGGAGAGAGGGTAGAGGGGAGAGGAGAGAGGGTAGAGGGGAGAGGGGAGAGGGTAGAGGTGAGAGGGGAGAGGGTAGAGGGGAGAGGGGAGAGGGTAGAGGGGAGAGGGGAGAGGGTAGAGGGGAGAGGAGAGAGGGTAGAGGGGAGAGGGGAGAGGGTAGAGGGGAGAGGGGAGAGGGTAGAGGGGAGAGGGTAGAGGGGAGAGGGTAGAGGGGAGAGGGTAGAGGGGAGAGGGTAGAGGGGAGAGGGTAGAGGGGAGAGGGTAGAGGGGAGAGGGTAGAGGGGAGAGGGTAGAGGGGAGAGGGTAGAGGGGAGAGGGTAGAGGGGAGAGGGTAGAGGGGAGAGGGTAGAGGGGAGAGGGTTAGAGGGGAGAGGGTAGAGGGGAGAGGGTAGAGGGGAGAGGGTAGAGGGGAGAGGGTAGAGGGGAGAGGGTAGAGGGGAGAGGGTAGAGGGGAGAGGGTAGAGGGGAGAGGGTAGAGGGGAGAGGGTAGAGGGGAGAGGGTAGAGGGGAGAGGGTAGAGGGGAGAGGGGAGAGGGGAGAGGGGAGGGATGGAAGGGTATGATAAGGTTCCGCAGGTGCAGAATGGGAGCAATGGTTGGGGGAAGAAGGGGAAGAGGGGCGAAGTAGTGAACTAGATACTAGGAGTGGGCGGCTGACAAATTGGTTGGGAGAGGGAGTGTGGTGTGAGTGGGAACGGGGTGTGAGTGTGAGACGCACATGGGAATGGGAATGCGACTGGGAATGGGAATGGAAATGAAAGTGGGAGTGGGTGTGGGAGTGGAAGGGGAAATGGGAGTACGAATAACATTTTGAGTGGGAATGGGATTGGAAGTAAGATTCGAAGAGAGAATGGGAATGGGAGTGGGCGTGGGAGTGAGAGAGGGAGGGAGTAGGAACGGGAGCTGGATTGCGCATGGGGTGGAGCGGAAATGGGCATAAGAAGAGAGTGCGGGGAGTGCGAGAGTGGAGGAGGGAGCAGGGAGGAGCGAAAGAGAGTTGAACGAGAGAAGAGCGAAAGATAACTCAAAAAGAGAAGGCCAACATCTAAGGCCACGACTATTCACCACGTCACCCTCCCACTGACCTCCCACTACCACCAAAAACCTAACCCAAACGCTAACCGTAAACCTACTACGAAGCCTGATCCTAAACTGAACCATAACCCTAACCATGACATTCGCACTGTCACGCAATCCCGCCTTCTTCCGCGAAACCTAACCTAACCTAACCTACCACGTCACAATGCTACCATACCCACCTCTGTCCGCTGTTTCTTGGCTGCGCTTCCTTGCTGCCGGTATCACGGCTTTGAGTGCTAAACGTGTGTAGACGCACCATGGTGATTGGTGCGTCCTGTCACAGTAGCCAGAGGCCACCCTGCCACGCTGTTACCCTACTAAACCTATTCGCATCCGATGTCTCCTCGCTACCTACCTCCGTCCGACGCTGTCTCTTCGCCTCTCAAATTTCGAGTCGACTCAAAATGTGTGCTGCCAGACTGTCACGCTGTAATCCTTCTAAACCTAATCCCGTTCGATGTCTCCTCGCCAGAACCCACCTCCGTCCGCCCTGTCCCCTCGCCTCTCGAATTTCGAGTCGACTCAAAATGAGTGCTTACTGCCAGGCTGTCACGCTGTAATCCTACCGAACCTACCTCCCTTCCGATGTCTCCTCGCCAGAACCTACCTCCCTCCGCCGCTGCCTCCTCAATTCCCGAATCGTGCAGCTGCGTGAAAAGCGCGTGCAGACAGCTCAGCATGCGTACACGTGGCAAGCCGTCCCCGTCCGCCTTCGCATTTCCGCGGTTATACGCTGACATGGCGGCTGTAACCGCGCCGAGTGCCAGGTGTGCGATTCCTAAAGGCGCGCCGAGCTGACCGGATCGTGCGACGCTTCCGATTGGTTCGGGTAGGTTGTCAGAAACGTTTCGATAGTCGGGCAGCCATGTGGGTTCGACATCGTCGTCGCTACCGTCTGAGAAGTCGCCAAAGTCCGCCATTATTGGAAGCAGAGTAGCAGCAGGGCCGTACGATGTGAAATATGGGTCGTTATAGATAACTTATTTGACGAATTTGACTATGCTTGGCGGCACTGCTACCGCAAAGCCGCGCCCTATATCGTGTCCCGCAGTGACAATTTGTCCCACTGGTAGTCACTACCGCTGGTCTGTAGTGACATCTGTGAATAGCAATGGACTACAGAATTTCAGTCAGTTCTCGCAAGAATGGAGTCAGTGTGAAGTATTATCCCCCCCTGGTTAATCACGGGGACGAACCGAGTTAGCTTGACACGCCCTACATGTAAGTCCGATGTCGTTACGTCAGGTGCGTCAGAAACCTAGGCTAGCAAGAAGCAGGTAACAAGTAACAGGTCGTTCTTCGCATAAGTGCGGCTACCGGATGTACCCGTTCCCTACAATACGGACATCCATTGGGTGGGCTACTATCATGACAAGATAACACTACGAGAGAAACGACTGGAAAACACGAACATGTGGTTCCAGGAATGACTGTTCTCGAGTGAACAAGAGGGACACAAGCAGCAGCGCAGCTGCTTGCTCGTTTGGTTGATGCACCTCTCGGAAAGATGTAGCTCTGACGGGGAGGTTTACTCTGTTAATTATTCTGACTCTCTTCCAGTACACGAACGCATAAACGGGGTATAATGTAAACATTCTCCAAAATATCGACTCACCGTTTACTGGAAAGAATGGCTACCAATTGGCAAAAGGTCGGTTTGCTACGTTCTAAACAACAGCCAGCACATCAAAAATGCTTTATAACAGACAGGGACAGTGCGGGAAACCTTTAGATTTCTCCCTTTCATCGAGCCAGAACAGAAATATCAAAGGAGGTGAACAAAACATTGCAGTACAGAAAATGTGGGAATCGCTTGGTTGAGGAAACAATGGGTCACCAGAAACAAACGTGCTTTCCCTTTCTCTCATTGGTCCATTGGAGCTCTTTGCGCGAAATGAACCAACTCCAGGAGTTGGTGAGCAGGAATGAAATGAACGGTGTGACCACATGGGGCGTGCGTGTGTGAGCGCAGCGGGAAAATCACTTCAGCCAGTGATGTGAGGGGACCAAGAACAGCTCGATTCCTGCGTCTTGCGGCACAAAACGCCAAACCTCATGGGACCTTGAAGTGTACGGTGAACAGGTATAAGCAGACTCACAACTGTCGACGAAATGCCACCACGATGCCTAATTGCAAAACGTTTACAATTCGCTAGTAGTTTCCCTAGTTCATGCCTGAACCATCCTTTATTCAATGTTCTGACGATTGAACATATTAAAAGGCCAGTCGTAGACATACATCTGCAATACTAACAAGCAGATTGACTTTGCATCAAATCGAATCTATCTTCCCATCTGCTAAAGAAAGGGACCACCACACATATACTTCATCAACGGTATGGCTCGTTATTGCGAATTATAAGCCCACCCATGTTCATCTAGAAAGTGTTGCACTGTTTCTCTGAGTGCCAGGTTCGGCACCAGCTGCTCTGGCGTCAATGGGGCCCTTGTCACCGGGTCAAACTGCTTGCCCTGCACCAGAGAGAAAAAAGAATGACATTACTTTAGAGGAAAACCAAGTGTAACTATGGAAGACACAGTGCAGCAAAACAGGCAGCCAGTGGAGGGTACAATGCAGCAGTGCGATGAGTGGTGCGTAAGGCAAGGAGAGAAGAAACGGAGAAGCATATATACTTACAGACTTCGTATGTAACGCCAGTAGGAGGATATTTGAGGCGCCTAAAATACCAAGGAGGGTTGGAGGGGAGAAGAAACGGAGCAGCCTATGCACTTACAGACTTCAGATGGTCGACCAGCACTGCTCGTTCGTATGTCACGCCACTGGGGGTGATGACTGGGTCCTTGAAGATATCCATTGTGATCTTGCAGCACAAAAAGTCTGGCACCTGTGGGGCAAAGAAGAGATCGGGAGAGAGATCACAATGAGTGGTGATTGACCGGGTTGCTTGAAGATATCCATTGTGATCTTGCAGCAAAGGAAATCAGGCACCTGTGAGGCACAGAGGGGGAAGGGAGAGGGATACAGGGACAGAGCACAATGAGTGGTGATGACCGGGTCCTTGAATATATCCATGGTGATCTGGCAGCACAGGAAGTCCGGCACCTGCCATCCACAAGGGAGAGAGGGAGAGAGAGAGCACGGTGAGTACATGGTGGGAAGCACATCGAAACAACAGGGGCTAGCACCAGCTGGTGTTCAAACGGGGTGATGACCGGGAGTGATCACAATATCCATTGTGACCTTGCAGCACAGGAAGTCTGGCACCTGCCATCCACAAGAGAGAGAGGGAGAGACAATGACTGGATGTTTGAAAACATCCATAGTGACCTTGCAGCACAGGAAGTCAGGCACCTGTGGGGCACAGCGCAAGGGAGAGAGGGAGAGAGGGAGAGCATGGTGAGTGATGACCGGGTCCTTGAAGATATTGTGACCAGCGTTAAATTGCAGAAATTTACTCACAATTTTTTCTCACACACCCCAAAGTCATCTCCAGAGTGTTGGGGCGCACCTCTGACACTGGAGCAGAGCATGCTGCAGGTTGTTTTTGAGAACTCTCAAGCTTGTATTTTAGAATTCTCAAAAACAAACTGCAACATCTCCAGACTGTTGGGGCGCACCTCTGACACTGTAGCAGAGCATGCTGCCCTGCCTCGTCGTCAAAATAAGAACATACAACAAAACAAGTCGCTTTGGTGCTCCTGCCTTGCCAAACACGTTCCCCAAGCGTGTTGCGCTGCATCTCACCTTCTGAGGCATCTCAGCAGCTCAACGCACCCACCTAATTCCAGAGCCCCAAACACTCACCTCGGTAGGTCTGTCTGGTGCTCCCGCCTTGTCAAACACGTTTTCCAGCGTGTTGAGGCGCTCCTGGTACTGCTCTAGCAGACTACATGCTGTCAACACCCCATCTTCTAAGGCACCTCAACAGCTCAACAGACCCAGCTGTTTTTGAAGTCTTTAAACACTCACCTTGGTCGGTCTGTCTGGTGCTCCCGCCTTGTCAAACACGTTTTCCAGTGTGTTGAGGCGCTCCTGGTACTGCTCTAGCAGACTACATGCTGTCAACACCCCATCTTCTAAGGCACCTCAACAGCTCAACAGACCCAGCTGTTTTTGAAGTCTTTGAACACTCACCTTGGTCGGTCTGTCTGGCGCCCCCGCCTTGTCAAACACGTTTTCCAGTGTGTTGAGGCGCTCCTGGTACTGCTGCAATAGGCATGCCGTCTCATCACTCCACCTTCTGAGCCACATCAACAACTCAATGCACCCGCCCAGCTCAACACTCACCTCGGTGGGTCTGTCTGGCGCCCCCGCCTTGTCAAACACGTTCTCCAGCGTGTTGAGTCGCTCCTGGTACTGCTGCACAAGTGTCTTCACCTGCTCTGCCCTGCGAGGGTCCAGACCTGCAGGAATGGGGGAAGTGGAAGGATGGATGGGGGAAATGGAGGCGAGTGTTGAGTCGCTTCTGGCATTGCTGCACTAGCGTCCTCACCTGCTCCGACTTGTGAGGGTCCAGACCTGCGTGAAGAGTGGGGTTGGTAAGATGAGAGGAGAGGATACAGGCGTAAGGCATATAATGTGTTAGGGCGCTCCTGATACTGCTGCACGAGCGTCCTCACCTGCTCCGTTTTAATTGGGTCCAGACCTGCAGAGAGCGAGATGCGCGAGAGGCCCGAGAGGGAGATGTGAGAGTGGGATGATGAGAGGAAGAGGTGGGGAGAAGAGGGTAGAAGAGCGAGTTGAGTCGCTCCTGGTATTGCTGCAATAGCGTCCTCACCTGCTCCGACTTGAGAAAGTTTAAGCCTGCAGAGGGTGAGATGCACGAGAGGGAGATGTGAAAGTGGGACGATGAGAGGGAGAGGTTATTACCGGATAAATCCGGATGTTTGTACCCCGCCTGAATTAAAACAAAGGACCGTTTGAGGTGGGAGTAGGGAGTAGGAAAAGCATGTTTGGTCGCGCCTGGTACTGCTGCACGAGCGCGTCCTCCTCTCCTGTTCCAATTTGAGAGGATCCAGACTTGTGGAAGGTGAGAGGCATTGAGAGGCACTGGAGGGAGTGGTGGAAATGGGAGGATGAGAGGGGGAGGTGCGAGCGGGGAAAGTAACGAGTGCTGAGTTAAGCAGCCCCTGGTGTATTTTGAGCGACTCTCAAAATACATCTGAACAAGGCATGTGCCATCACACGAGGTACATCACATGTAGCATCACACGAGGTGCATCACATGTAGCATCACACGAGGTGCATCACATGTAGCATCACACGAGGTGCATTTCATGCGCCATCACACGAGGTGCATTGCACGTGCCATGACATTGCATACCCTTCCACTCACCATCTCCCCTCTCTCCTCACCATCTCCCCTCTCTCCTCACCATCTCCCCTCCCTTCTCTCCTCACCATCTCCCCTCCCCCCTCCCCCTCACCACGTGTTCTCCCCTCCACTCCCCTCTCTACTCCCCTCTCTCCCCTGCACTCCCCCCTCTCCCATCCTCCTCTCACAGCTACGCTGCCCAGGCTGGATAATTCAAAGGGAACGGATCCATTCAGAGCCCCGCCTTTTCTCTCACCATCTCCTCTCCTCTCTGTTCCCACCATATGTACTCTCCTCCCCTCTCTCCCCTCTCTACTCGCATCTCCCATCCTCCTCGCACCGTCTATGCTGCCCAGGCTGGAGAAGTCCATGGAGGCGGATCCATTCAGAGCGCCCTCTTTGCCTGGCGGGTATGCAGGAGAAGCAGCAGTGAGAAGTAAATGGGGGGGATGATAACACCTTCGACAATCGCGTTCAGAGTGCCCTATTTGCATGGAAAACATAGAGGAGGGGCAGCGAGACAAGGCTGTGCGGTCTAAAAGATCGCCTTATATCTCCAACAACACGCCAAGACTTCTAAAGGAGTGCTCAAGGCTGGCACAAGGCTTCTCCACTCAGAATACCCTTTTGAGTCGACTCAAAAGTCAACTGGCTCCAACAACACGCCAAGACTTCTAAAGGAGTGCTCAAGGCTGGCACAAGGCTTCTCCACTCAGAATACCCTTTTGAGTCGACTCAAAAGTCAACTGGCTCCAACAACACGCCAAGACTTCTAAAGGAGTGCTCAAGGCTGGCACAAGGCTTCTCCACTCAGAATACCCTTTTGAGTCGACTCAAAAGTCAACTGGCTCCAACAACACGCCAAGACTTCTAAAGGAGTGCTCAAGGCTGGCACAAGGCTTCTCCACTCAGAATACCCTTTTGAGTCGACTCAAAAGTCAACTGGCTCCAACAACACGCCAAGACTTCTAAAGGAGTGCTCAAGGCTAGCACAAGGCTTCTCCACTCAGAATACCCTTTTGAGTCGACTCAAAAGTCAACTGGCTCCAACAACACGCCAAGACTTCTAAAGGAGTGCTCAAGGCTGGCACAAGGCTTCTCCACTCAGAATACCCTTTTGAGTCGACTCAAAAGTCAACTGGCTCCAACAACACGCCAAGACTTCTAAAGGAGTGCTCAAGGCTGGCACAAGGCTTCTCCACTCAGAATACCCTTTTGAGTCGACTCAAAAGTCAACTGGCTCCAACAACACGCCAAGACTTCTAAAGGAGTGCTCAAGGCTGGCACAAGGCTTCTCCACTCAGAATACCCTTTTGAGTCGACTCAAAAGTCAACTGGCTCCAACAACACGCCAAGACTTCTAAAGGAGTGCTCAAGGCTGGCACAAGGCTTCTCCACTCAGAATACCCTTATGAGTCGACTCAAAAGTCAACTGGCTCCAACAACACGCCAAGACTTCTAAAGGAGTGCTCAAGGCTGGCACAAGGCTTCTTTACTCAGAATACCCTTTTGAGTCGACTCATAAGTCAACTGGCTCCAACGACACGCCAAGACTTCTACGAGTGCTCAAGGCTGGCACAAGGCTTCTCCACTCAGAATACCCTTTTGAGTCGACTCAAAAGTCAACTGGCTCCAACAACACGCCAAGACTGCTTGTTGTGTTGCGACAAGCAGCATCCACAGCGTAGGTAGGCACAATAGCGTACCAAGAAGCTGCGATACTTGTTGGCCGAGGCGGTTCTTCAGCAGAAGCTTCAGCTCCTCCCTGTTTCAAGAACACCGACCCACAGAAACGAGCAAGGCCCGAGTGAATTCACCTCGAAACATCCGGGGGAAAAAAAAAAAAAAAAAAAAAAAAAAAAAAAAAAAAAAAACACACGTTGAGTGAAGAACAAAGACGAAGGTCAACCGAATAGCGCAGGCAAACGTTGAGTGTTGGTCACAGCCAGCAGAGTTCTGGGGTGCTTCAGAACAATATTTTAGTGCCTCAACAGAAATTCTGAGGTGCCTACAAAATAACTCTGCTGATGCCCAGCAGAGTTGGATTTCAGCAGAGCTTTTTTGTCACGCACAAACTCTTGTTGGTAGCACCCTGAATTGCAGGCTCACTGCTTTCACAAGCACCTCCTCATAACGCATCACCCAACAGTCACTCACCCTAGCGCTCGCTGCTTCTCCCTTCTCGCCTTGGCCTCCTCCTCCCACCGCCGGTATTTGGCAGAAGCAAGCACTCTCCAGATGTCGTCCAGGTTGTCACTGCGCACCAACCGGGTATCGTTCCTCAGTGCTTCCAGGGCCTGGGAGGGAAATGCAAGGAAAGGGAGGGAGGGAGGGAAGGATAGAGTTCTTGGTGCAACTCCTAAGTTCAGCACGCCGCCGGTACTTGCCGTGCGTGCCATTCCACACTGATTCAAGCACCTTGGAACAGAGTGGTTGAAAGGGATCAAAAGTGGTTGAACAAGCATGCTAGCGAGTGCAAGGAATTCATGCATTGCTCTTTCCAACCGATCGTCCTCCGCTTCTCAGCCACAACCACTCATCCCTCCAATGCCCGCACCCCACCCACCTTTGCCCCTTCCCAGTCACACCCCCACGCACACCCTGTCCCTCTCCCTCTCCCTTTCCCCCTCTCCCACATGTCCATCCCCCTACCCACCTTCTTCAGCTCTCGGATTGCCTCTGAGAATCATCTCAGCTCCACCAGAGCAAGGGAGGCAGATAACCCCACCCACCCACCCTTCCCCCTTTCCACTCACGCCCCCACGCACACCCTTCCCCTGTCCCTCTCCCACCTGTCCCTCCCCCCACGCACCTTCTCCAGCTCTCTGATCGCCTCTTGGAATCGACTCAGCTCCACCAGAGCAAGACCCAGAAGATGTCCCCCTCAGCGCACCCACCTGCTCCCCTTCCCATACACGCCCCCCCCACGCACACCCACTCTCTCCCCCCCCTCTGCCCTCTCCCTCTCCCCTGTCCCCCCACGCACCTTCTCCAGCTCTCTGATCGCCTCTGGGAATCGACTCAGCTCCACCAGAGCAAGGGAGGCAGATGCCTCCACCCACCCACCTGCTCCCCTTCCCAAATATACCCCCACACACACCCACTCTCCCTCTTCCCGATGTCCCTCCCCCCGCCCACCTTCTCCACCTCTCTGATCGCCTCTGGGAATCGGCTCAGCTCCACCAGAGCAAGGCCAAGAAGATGCCCCCCTCCGCGCACCCACCTGGCACCCGCTCCCCTTCCCAGATACACCCCCACGCACACCCTGTCCCTCTCCATTCCCTTCTGTCCCTCTCCCTCTCCCCGCTGTCCATCCCCCTACCCACCTTCTCCAGCTCTCTGATCGCCTCTGGGAATCGACTCAACTCCACCAGAGCAAGACCAAGAAGAAAGCGCGCCTGCAGAGAGGGGAAAACGACACAGGAGTCATTTAGTTTGTTCGTTTGCGAACGGAGCTATTTGAGAATGGGGAGGAAACAAGAGAGGAGACATGAGAAAAGACCTGTTACGTTGTCATCACAATGTTCTACTGATCAAATGCAGGCAACCAACTGTAAACTGGAGAAAGTACCTTGACGGAATTTCTGTCCAGTTCCAGAGCCTTTGTGCAGTCATGCTCTACTCTCGGCCAATCACTGCACACAGATGAAAGAGAGGGAACGGATTGACAATGATAAAGCTACGGGACACGCAAACACCATATACCAGCAGAATTAGAGAACACAGAAAGCCAACACCTTTAACCAACATGAGAAGGCAACATGCCAACATAGAGGCCAACATATCAACATAATCAGCTGAAATGTCAACATGATAAGCCAAGTCAACATGATAAGCGAACATGTCCACATGATAAGCGAGCATGTCCACATGACCAGAAGCCCCGTGCCACACGCACCATTTTCTTCTCTGGCACAGAGCTCGGTTGGTCCAGTACACTGGCACGCCTGGGGCAAAGGTGATGGCCTGCCGCGTGGGGGAAGGTGGGAGATGGTTGGGAGTGGCAAGGGGCGAGGGACAAGGAGACACAGCAGCAGAGGTTGGGGTTGCGTGGGAATGGTAAGGGGGACGGGAATTGGTGGCAGAGAGCTCGGTTGGTCCAGTAGACTGGCACGCCTGGGGCAAAGGTGATGGCCTGCCACGTGGGGGAGGATAAGGGAGTGGGAGACATGGAGAATGGAAAATGGCAGAGAGAAGGAACGACAGCAGCAGAGCTCGGTTGGTCCAGTAGACTGGCACGCCTGGGGCAAAGGTGATGGCCTGCCGTGGGGAAGGGTGGGAGATGGGTGGGAGTGGCAAGGGGCGGAAGACAAGGAAACACAGCAGCAGAGGTTGGGGTTGCGTGGGAATGGATAGCGGGATGGGAATCAGGTGCGGAGAGCTCGGTTGGTACAGTAGACAGGTACGCCCAGGGAAAAGATGATGGCCTGCAGTGGGGGAGGATAGGGGAGTGGGAGACACAGAGAATGGAAAGGGGCAGAGAGAAGGAACGACAGCAGCAGAGCTCGGTTGGTCCTGTAGACTGATACGCCTGGGGCAAAGGTGATGGCTGCCACGGGGAGGAGACAGGACGGTATACCACAAACTATCGGTGGCAAGACAGGAGGTATTTGGCATAGGAGAGAAACAGGGAACAATAAGCAACACCACCATCCCTGTCTGCCTCTCTACACACTCCTCCCACCCTTCCCCTCCCTCTTCCCCATCTCCGCATCAACTGACAAGCTTCCCAGCTGTAGATTGCGTCATGCCGTGCTCCCATGCCTGGATGACTTCTGAGTCGACTCCCAAGCTACATCTTTTGACCATTCTCTTTCAACGATTAAGCACCTTGTTTGTGCCGTTCTGCAAGCTGAGCTCGACAGAAACACGCACCTCCGTGTACGCGTCTATAGCTGCTCCGAGAAACCCTTTGTTGAAGTACTCGTTGCCTTTCTGCTTCAGCCTCTCCGCCTGAAGCTCCTGCGCCGTCTTCGGCGGCATTGCGGCGCTTCCTTGGAAGAGAAACAACCACCAGGAGACGCGAAGCCGCTGCGAACCTTCTCCTTCGACACACAGTGGTCGGAACCCCCTCTTATCCTCTCTTCCCACTCTTCACGAAAAAGGCTCCACCCCGTTTCGCTTCCAACGGCTATCAGTCTTCGCTTCCAACGGCTATCAGGCTTTAGCTAGTCCCCAGTCCAGCAAACCTTAATCTCTGAAAGCCAGCTACTGCGGAAGCGACGGGAGTTCCGTAATCCACGGTCGAGTGTAGGTTGAGCCTAGATTGGGCGTAAATTGGTATGAGATTGAGGTTATATCGAACCTAGATAGATAACAACGCTGCTACACTGATTCCACGCCTAATCGGAAGCGTATGTGGCTAAACTGATTCTAAGCTAGACTGAATTAGCTTTGGGGCCGATAACTACGAAGACGTGACGCGAAAGCAAGGTAAGGGAGCTGACAGTTAGTTACACCTAGTAAGGGAGATGCGAACAGCAACGGGAATGTGATTGAAATGAAGGTGTGACTAGGAGCCTGAGACAAGCTCCCCGAGCTTCGCACCAGATGCTTCTACCACCTGACGCCACGTGGTCACGTCAAACTCCTCTGCTGCATCTCACGCCAACAGTGACTATGATGCATGGTGAAGCTAGTAGATGAACAATCACAATTGACGTCACGGGCTGGGAATAGCTTCTGGAAGGTCCTCCTTCCTGTCACCCACTAACGGATTTTTATTCCCAAAAAGCTATGTACCGCATTGAAGTAGCTACCTCACAAAACCCTGAGCGAAACGTGACGAACCGAGCTGAACCTTCCCTGAAGTACCTTCCCCAAAACTGTTTCATTCTGTCAGAGCAGAGCGGAGCCGCAGTTCTACACAAGCCTGTCAGAACCTCGATTCTTGTGCGTGCGCGAAAACCTAACGAAATGCCTACGGTGGTACGCGAAAGCAGTTACGTGAAGGGGATACACGAGATTAAAGTGCTGATCCAAGTGTGCATATAGAACCCAATGCAAATTAGAACAAGCTGATCAACTAGATTATATGAGAGGATCAATCCGTGATACCGTATCTATATCAGGAAAGGCACAACTGCCTTTCTTTGTTTGGGATAATCCTCAAACTTCTGCAAGTACCACCTATGGTGGGACACCGCACGCGGCACGAGATTAGCACACGCAAAAACACAAAGAAAGCCAATCCTGCCCAAGACCACGTCAATATGGCCCAGCCCAGCCATTCAGCCAGCTCTCCAGTGTAATTTGGGCAGGAAACCAGGTGGAAAAGCAGCCCTTTAGGAATTTTGTACCCTTTGTCTGAAGGGCTTTTTCTTAGGGCAAGAAGAGCTGAATCGGCCGCAATGTTGGTGATGAAACCAAGGAGGAACAGAGAGGAGCCGATACGAAGCTGCATTGTGGAGAGCCAAGACAGAGGATACTTCCGAGCGCCTCCCACCCTGCACAAGAGTCGAGGGGTTATGAGAGGACACTTGCAATGTTGGTGATGAAACCGAGGAGAAACAGAGAGGAGCCAATGCGAAACTGCATTGAAGAGAGCCACGAAAGGAGATACTTCCCAGTGCCTCCCACCGTGCACAACACACGGGGTGTGTTAGAGGACGTTTGCAATGGTTAAATGAAAAAGTATGAGAAAAGAGGGGGACAGTAAGACACCAACAGGTAAATGGAAATATGGTAAGGAACGGGTTAGACACCTTTACCATGTGATATCTTTAACTAGGCTGCTTGGAGCAGGAGGACCAGCAGATCTACTAGCTGCCGCAGCATGGCAGTACTGCTTACTCCTTACTACAGGTCTACCCAGTACACCCTCTGTTGTGATCCCTACACAGATTCGTTGTGCGCGTTAGAAGCAGGCTCGTTACTGCTTAGTGCTGGCCCCTCCGTTACAGCGCACCGGCAGCGCGATCCCTCACCCCGCCTCACTCACTGCCATGCCTGCCAGTCAGCAAGCAGCATGCTGTTGAAGGTGGTTGGCTAACCATGACCTAGAACGACCTAACGCGATCTACATCGACCTAAGAAGAATTCGGTTTGACGAGCTGTGACTAAGGGAAAGCGAGGACCTAAGAAGAAGAGGAGCTACCTATGTTGGGACAGTGGAAGGAGAAACACGGTAGCGGCGCGACCTGCAGTGGGAATCGAAGAGAAGGAGGGGAAGTGTGCAGAAATGGAGAAGAAAACAGCTGAAATGTCGAGATTCCAAGCGACGTGAAGAGAAGTCACGCCGGGTCAAAGGCGCGTCCAAGGAAGTCTGATTCGAACTCGAGGCGCGTTCGGTGCATGGTTGGATTTGGAAATTGAGCCGAGTACAACTCAGCTCGAAATTAGGCGCGGCGCGAGGGCGAAATCAGAAATCCTTTTGCTTATAACTTGCTTTGTGTTTTCTGTTTTTGCATGCCTTCTTCAATGAAATTACTTGAACTTTCTGCCTTGGCGTTTTCCAGCAAATTCCTTCACACAGTTGGGGCCAGAGCTTCATATGCTTGTTACTAAGACTCTAAATAGTCTTCATAGTCTAGACTAAAGGCTGCGCACGTACAAGAGCTGGTATCAGAGCTGATTTAAGGCGTGTTCTAGCGTTTTAAGGATAGGCGGAAAGTATGACGGGCGATCATACTGAGGCGAGTTCGGGCTCCTCTGTGAGCATTGGAGGCTCAGAACTGCAGGCCATCCTAACAGCGCTAGCACAAGCTAAATTGACGGCGAAGCCAACGATTGGGCTTAGCGAGGCCCAACGATTCCATGGAGAAAATTATAGCACGTGGCGACTCAAGTTCATTCGTAGAGCGGAGGAAGTGGATCTCTGGCCGTATTATCATCCCGACAAGGAAACGGGAGAGGGCGTCCCACCATCTGCAAAAGAAAAACCAGAAGAAAATGCGTCATTCAAAAAAAGAAGTAAGCAAGCTTTTTTCCAATTGTGTCATTCAGTTTCGGATAGCATTGCAGTGGGGCTGGATCAATTTGCTGGAGAGAACTCTGCCGAACGAGCCTGGGAGTACATGGAAGCTGCTTACCTTGGACTTACGGATACCAACAAAGCCGCCATTCGGAAGAAACTTCTCCTATTGAATATGGAGCCGAGGGAGAGGGTCATTGACTACATAAATCGAGCAAAGGGGTACAATGACGACCTCAAGGCTATGGGGGCAGCTGAAACTGAAGGAGAAATGATGGGGTACATCATTAGTGGGCTGCCCAAGGAGTGGGAAGCAGAGATAGGGCTCCTAACCTGCAACCCACCCGCAAATATGACCAAGCTGTTGGAGACGCTCCAAGTTTTGGAGCGGGTGAAAGCTGATCGGCTCAGGAAGGAGGTTAGCTTGAATGGAATGGGACCAGCCACACATGCTATGGTAAACGCAGCAGCAACAGGGAAAGGATATGGAGGTTTCGGGGCGTGTTTTCAGTGTGGAAAGAAGGGTCATAAGCAGATAGACTGCTATGATAACCCAAGGAGCAGAAATTTCAAGGGGAAATGGAGCGGTCCGCAGCAGAAGGGGCTGCAGAACGGATGGCAGCAGAGAGAGGGGGAGGTTCGAGGTGATAACAAGATGCAGAGAGGCGGATTTTCAGGGGCATGTCACTATTGCCAGAAAATTGGGCATAGGGCAGCCAACTGCTACTCGAACCCCAACAGCAGGAACTACCAAGGAGCAAACCAGCAGCAAATCAAACCAGCAGCAGCAAAAGCAAATGCAGTGGAAGCTGAAAACAGTGAAGCGGACGTCATCTTGGGAGGAGCTCACAAGGCAAACGTGGCAAGGGCATCGGGTGTGTGTTTGATGGCAAAGGGGTTTGGTGAAGCTGCGTGGTTCATGGATAGTGGGTGCACGCAACATATGACCAATCATCGTGAGTGGCTTACCGGATTGAGGGAGTCTAGTGTACCCTACGTTCTGTTGGGCGATGAAGGAAAACTGATTGTGAAGGGGGAAGGAGAGTTGCTACTCCAAGGAGAGTACGGGGAGCTGAAGCTGGAAAATGTTCTCTTAGTGGAGAAGCTCTCACTGAATCTGATCAGCCAGTCTCAACTTGACAGCACGGGGTGCAAAACCTTCAGCGACAAAGGAAAGTTGTGGGTTTTCAATGAGGATTGGAAGGTGGTTGCAGAAGGGAACAGAAATCAGGGGTTGTATGAAATGAAGCTGAGGAAGAAGGGGCTGGAGGATGAGAATGCCACCTACCTGACATCACTCGAAGGGGACCTAGCTAGGGAGGAGTTGAAGGCTCGGCTTGGTGGCTTACCTGTGAAGGAGCTGCAGCAGGAAGCTTCTGCCATGGTGGTTGGGATGGAGCAGGTGGAATTTGAGACCTTGCACAGGCGCATGGGGCATGCAAGCATGGATAGGGTCAAAGAGTTGGTCAAAAAGGGCATGGTAAAAGGTGTGGCACTGAAGGAGGGGGCTGGAAGCAAGGGAAAATGCAGCAAGTGTGTTGAAGGTAAAATCACAAAGTCCCCTCACCCCCACCACCAGGTACATGAGCCTTATGGCACCTTGGACATCGTAGCAGCCGATGTGTGTGGGCCTATGAGGGTGGCGTCACGACACGGCAGCCGCTACTTCGTTACCTTCACTGATTTGGGAACGAGGCACACATGGGTGACGGAGCTGAAAGATAAGGCAGAAGTGTTTCCTAGCTTCGTGACTTGGATGGCGGAAGCGGAACGGCAAAGTGGGAAGGTGCTGAAAGTTTTAAGGACAGATAATGGAGGGGAGTTTACCGGTGAGCTGTTCAACAAGTTTTTACAGAGCAAGGGTATCCGACGGCAGCTGACTGTACCCTACACTCCACAGCATAACAGCATAGCGGAGCGAGTGAATCGGTCTCTACTAGACAGCGTGAGGAGCATGCTGGCCGACAGTGGGTTGCCGCTGAAATTTTGGGGTGATGCATTAGCTATGGCGTGCTGGTCCAAGAACCGACTACCTACCAAGGGACTTCGGGCAGATATGACTCCCCACGAGGCCTTCTATGGCAGGAAGCCGAATCTGGGGTTCGCTCGGGTGTGGGGAAGTATGGTGCAATACAGGGAGCCAGCCGGTCCGGATCATAAGTTGCTGCCCAAGGCTCATTGGGGGATTAACCTCGGTACCTGCCCGGTGAGCAAGGGGTGGGTGATCAAGGATGTAATTTCAGGGAAGGTCATGATCACCCGGGATGTTGTCTTCTACGAGGAGGTGAACTACCTGCAGTGGAAGGGAGTAGAGAAAGAGATTGCAGCAGCATGGACAGCAATTGCACCGGACAAGGTGGACGATCTTTTGGAAGAAAAGGAGAGTGAGGGAGTTGGTGATGAAGGAGATGAGGAACTCGAAGATGTGGAACGGGCAGATTCAGTTGATTGGGTGTGGGAGAAGGCACCAACCAGGGAAGCGGATGAAAGCAAGGTAGTGGAGATAGCAGGGGAGCAGCCAAGCAAAGAAGTAGCTGAGGATGGCATTGATGAAGTGGCTGAAGAAGAGGGAGATGAAGAATCAGCAGCTGAAGGAGATAGTGATCCTTGGAAGCTTCTAAACAGTGATGACAACAATGCCAAGATGAGGGAGATAGAGGAATTACTTGAGGAGGGCGCCATCGTGATTGGAAGGGAAGTGAAGAATGGAGAAGGGAAAGCACTGGCGGATTCCAGTGAGGATGAGGTCGAGTCACCTGCAGAGGAGTTGGGGAAAGGAAAGAGGGTGAAGAAACCAAACCCTCGGTATGCGCAACTGCTGATGACGTGCTGGAAGGACATCCATACCCACCTCCTACTCTCTGCCACAGCTACTGACCTAGTCTTCAATGAAGGAAAAGTGACACACAACCTGCCCAAAGAACCAGTGAGCATCGAGGAGGCGCTAGAGGGTCCAGAAAGGGAGCAGTGGAAAGCGGCAATTGAGGAGGAGTTGAACACATTGGCTGAAAGGGGCACATGGGAGCTCGTGCCTATGCCAGAAGGAAGGAAAGCCGTGGGGGTGAAGTGGATTTTTAAGATCAAGACCGGAGATATGGGGCAGCTGGAAAGATTCAAAGCAAGGCTCGTAGCCAAGGGCTACACTCAGGTGGAGGGGAAAGACTACAACAAGAACGAAATCTATGCTCCAGTGAGCAAGTTGACAACGGCACGGGTCTTTCTCAAGGTGGTAGCAGCAAGGAAATATTTTATGGTGCAGCTGGATATTAAAAACGCGTTTTTGTATGGGGTGCTGAAGGAGGACATCTACCTCGAGCAACCACCAGGGCATGACGATGGCTCGGGCAGAAAATGCAAGCTCAACAAGGCATTATATGGGCTGAAGCAAAGTCCTAGGGAGTGGTATATGGCGATGGATGAGCGGCTACTGCAAGGGGGATTTCAGAAAAGTGGGTGTGATAGGGCATTCTACTGGAAGGGAGAAGGGAAGGAGAAGGTGTTCTTGGTGCTATACGTGGACAACATCTTAGTGGCAGGGGCGTTAGAGGAGGAGGTAGAGAAGGTGTGCACTCACCTTGCGGAAGTGTTTCAAGTGAAGCAAATTCCACGGACCACACTCTTTCTCGGCATGAATCTGGAGCGGCGTAAGGAGGAGAGCAAGATGTTTCTGTACCAGCAGAAATATTGCAGCAGGGTGCAGCAGAGGTTTGGCAACGGCTACACGAAGGCGATTTCTACACCATTGAGTGGGGTAGCTGAAAACGACGGTGAACGAGAGGAAGATGTCAACCAATGGGGTAGCAAGGAGAGGGCTCTACAGGTATACCAGTCCATGGTGGGGTCCATAATGTATCCGGTCTCATGCACGCGTGTCGATATGGCATACGCAGCTAGCTATCTTGGGCAACAAGTGCAGCAGCAAGGGGAGAGAAAATGGAGAGAGATGAGGAGGACTATCGACTACCTACTGCAACATGAAGATGAGGGACTGTTATTCGAAGGAGGTGAAGAGACCTTGGAGTTAGTGGGGTATGCGGATGCTTCACACGCATCCGACAAGAAAACAAGGAAGGGAGCATACGGTTACGTGTTTCTGCTCGGCGGGACAGCAATCATGTGGCAAGCGAAAAAGTTGGCTGACATATCGCTCTCTAGTGCGGAAGCGGAGTACATGGCTCTGTTTTACGCATGCCAAGAGGGGGTTTGGCTGAGAAGGCTACTCAAGGAGATGGAAATAAAGGTGGAAGGACCTACGGTGATTCGCTCGGACAGCAAATCTGCAATCGATTTGGCTCATAACGACAGTTGGCACGGCAGGACCAAGCATATGGACGTGAAGTATCATTGGGTGCGTTCAAAGGTGAGTAGCAAGGAGTTTGAGTTTGAATTCGTGCGTACGGAGGCACAGACGGCAGATTTTCTGACTAAGGTGTTACCAAGGGCTAATTTTGAGCGTTGCAAGAGAGAGGTTGGGATGCGTACCTTGGCTGAATTGCAGGGGAGTGTGGTGCAGGCCTAGAGGTGGTTCAAGGTGAAACGTACGAGGGAGCGTGCATAAGCTGGTGGTTAGCAAACCACAGGGGAGATTGTTGAAGGTGGTTGGCTAACCATGACCTAGAACGACCTAACGCGATCTACATCGACCTAAGAAGAATTCGGTTTGACGAGCTGTGACTAAGGGAAAGCGAGGACCTAAGAAGAAGAGGAGCTACCTATGTTGGGACGGTGGAAGGAGAAACACGGTAGCGGCGCGACCTGCAGTGGGAATCGAAGAGAAGGAGGGGAAGTGTGCAGAAATGGAGAAGAAAACAGCTGAAATGTCGAGATTCCAAGCGACGTGAAGAGAAGTCACGCCGGGTCAAAGGCGCGTCCAAGGAAGTCTGATTCGAACTCGAGGCGCGTTCGGTGCATGGTTGGATTTGGAAATTGAGCCGAGTACAACTCAGCTCGAAATTAGGCGCGGCGCGAGGGCGAAATCAGAAACCTTTTTGCTTATAACTTGCTTTGTGTTTTCTGTTTTTGCATGCCTTCTTCAATGAAATTACTTGAACTTTCTGCCTTGGCGTTTTCCAGCAAATTCCTTCACACAGTTGGGGCCAGAGCTTCATATGCTTGTTACTAAGACTCTAAATAGTCTTCATAGTCTAGACTAAAGGCTGCGCACGTACAAGACATGCATCATTCGCACTCACTGCCAGCCCTGCATGAATCCGTTGAGCAGGTTGTAGCAGAACGCCAGCAGCATCACCGCCAGCGGCATCGTCTTGCCCTCCGCCCGCATCCGCATCGGGTAAATCACCACCCGGTGAACATAATGCACCAGATAAAACGCCATAATCACCGGCGCCGCATCCGCCGCCGCTTCCGCCGCACCCGCTGCTGATCCCGCCGCTCCGATCAACCCTGGGCTGCCAATTTCCGCCTCCGCGTTTCCCACCATCCGATCTGCCACGTGGCAGCCGTGCCAGCCCCAGCTGAAATCATGGCGGAGAGCCAAAACGCGGGGCTCTCCATGACGATCCACGCGAGCCGCGCGGGGATTAACGGTCCCCAACCGGGTCGCACGTGTCGACCGTACGGCGCCGAGATGAATGTGGTGGCGAGACATGCAACGGGAGCGAGGAGGAACATAACGGGTACGGCGATTCGGAAGAGGGAGGCAAGAGTGGAGGCTGACGGCGGTTCGAGCATCGTGGCGCGAGTGAGAAAATCACGAGATAACTCGAAAAGCGCATCCATGTTTGCGACGTTAAGAAACTAGGCTGATGGTCAAAGCATCGTCTGACGGAAAAAAAATCGTGCTATGACGCGAAACGCGTCGCCATTTTCGGGGTCTACATACGACGGAGAGGAGATTAGATTTGTTGATTTAAATCCAAGGCTTAAATGAGCTTAAAATATGGCGGCGAGAGGAAGGACGGCTGGGCGAAACGGGAGTTAGAGACAGGAAAGACGTGGATTTTAGAACTCCAGGGAAGACGAGCAGGTGCCGTAAATAGCAGGAGAGCGAGCCTGTACTATTTGTTTGACGCATGTAAGAAGTTAAGGTGCAGTATGGTGCGCAATGGTTGCAAGTGGTGGAACCAAGATCCGTTCTCGACCTTGAATCAACGTACTGAACCGCGCTGGACGAACCCGGAACATTTTGTTTCGACCCGCCCAATTTTCCCGCCATCAATAATAAACACGGACGGACCTAGCAGTGAGTGACAGTACAGAACTGCGAGTTGGAATCTAAATCTGTCAGTCTAGAGGCCTGCGGATTAGTGGTGAGAGGGCTGCTGGATAGACTTTCAACATTGCGAGTTATTCTCGGTATGACAGTATATGCGTTCAGAGCCCGGTAAAGAGCACTTTAGGAACTAATAATTCGCTCATCTGCTCGTCCAACTGCTCTTCTCGAGCTTCGAAGGCCCCTTGATCGCATACGAGCACGGCACAAGCGATACGCAGCTTTCGGAGGGCGAATGCATGCTGCTCCTGTGAATATATCAATAGTGATAATAGTGCGCCAGCTTTAGCTATCTTGCGACGATTATTGGCACCACAAAAAATCGGATTAGATCGAAGGAGACATGTTCAAGTGCCTGCTTATAACGAATAAGACCGGGAATATTCTTTTGGAAAGGTAAGGAACCGGCAAAGAGTCCTACTCCGTCTCCTTGTCCCTTTCCTCATTTCTCTCCTCGCCAAGTCCTCGTCCCTATCTTCTATCGCGAGTATCGGAGGACGAGGACAAGAAGCGGGAGCGGCAGTTGCCTCAAGCCTACACCACTCTTCGCCTCCCTCTTTTCCCTGATGCATCTGGCCAATCAGAATATGTTTTATAGGCCCGTTTAACACCAGTCTTCCCTTTCCTTGAATTTTTATGCACCCAACCAATCAGATTCCACGGGCTATCAGCGGACGAGCGCGGCCAATGGCGTGCGTTCCTCTTCAAGCTGGGTCACGACAACCTGTCGACAGCACTTCCCGAGGAGCAGTTCGTGGCCTGTTACAAGTAGGTGTTACAAGTAGGCGTTACAAGTAGGTGTTACAAGTAGGTGTTACATGTAGGTGTTACATGTAGGTGTTACACTGTACGATCAAAAGAGAGTGCGTTCCTCTTCAAGCTCGGTCATGACACGGCAGTTCTTGAAGAGCAATTCGTGGCTTGTTACAGTTACGTGTCACAAGTAGGTGTTAGGCGTTACGAATAGGTGTCACAAGTAGGTATTACACGTAGGTGATTCACCCCCCAACGACACCTGCGTGGTTTGGTTGCACCTGTTGCTGACTCACCTGCCCAGTTGACTCATTCCCCTTCTCGCTCCTCCATTCATACCCTCACCTCATCCCCTCACCTCATCCCCACACCTCATCCCCTCGCCTCCCTCATTTCTTTTTGAATCATCCATTGTCTCGCCTCACCTTCCTCCCTTCTCTCCTCACCCCTCTTGCCTCCCCTCCACTCCCCTCCCCTCCCCTCCCCTCCCCTCCACTCCCCTCCCCTCCCCTCCCCTCCCCTCCCCTCCCCTCCCCTCCCCTCCCCTCCCCTCCCGTCCGCTCCCCTCCCGTCCCGTCCCCTCCCGTCCCCTCCCCTTCCCTCCCCTCCCCTCCCCTCCCCTCCCCTCCCGTCCCCTCCCCTCCCCTCCCCTCCGTCCCTTCCCCTCCCGTCCCCTCCCGTCCCCTCCCCTCCCCTCCCCTCCCGTCCCCTCCCCTCCCCTCCCTCCCGTCCCCTCCCGTCCCCTCCCGTCCCTTCCCCTCCCCTCCCCTCTCCTCTCATTCCCTTTCTGGCCACATCCAGCACCACTCAGTGCTGAAATTTCCTTTCATTCCTGAGCTGTGTGATTGTTATTCGTCTCACCTCATCTCCTCACTTCATCCCTTCATCTCAACCCCTTAACTCGCCTCAACCCATTCCAGCAACACCTACGTGGTGTACACGTCTATTGCTGACATCCCTGCGTTGTGTGCATGCATTCCCGTCCTATCCATTCACCCCATTCCCTCCCCTCACCCTCTCCTCTTCCCTCCCCCCATCCCAGCAACACCTACGTGGTGTACACTTCCATTGCTGACATCCGCATCTACCTCGTTGGGTGCTCTCCTCATCGCACCCGTTCACATCACCCCCTCCCCTGCCCTCCCCTTCCCTCCCCCCATCCCAGCAACACCTACGTGGTGTACACTTCCATTGCTGACATCCGCATCTACCTCATTGGGGACGACGAGTACGATGAGCTGGCATGTGAGTACGATGAGCTGGCATGTGAGTACGAGCTGGCATGTGAGTATGCTGAGTTGGTGGTTGAGTATGGTGAGCTGACCGTGCACTTGTTGAGCTGCCATATATTACCTGCACTGCTCCTGCCATGAGTATGTTGAGCTGGCAGGTGAGTATGTTGAGCTGGCAGGTGACCATTCTGAGCTGGCAGGTGAGTATGATGAGCTGCCATGTATCTACTGCACCGCACCTGCCTGCACACAATCCAAGTCGTATCCATCCTGGCGCTCTCTGATTCTCCCTGAGCCTGACCCTTCCTGCTCCATCCCCCCTACACCCCAGTGTCTGAAATCCTCACAATGATTCTCAATCCGCTCCTCGCATCTCATCGGGATAGTCCTCCTCATTTCCTTCCTTACCCCCACCCCTCAACACCCCAGTGTCGGAGATCCTCACCATGATTCTCGATCTTCTCCGGGCGGCATGCAAGCGCACGCCGACCCAGGTGGCGCTGCTGGACCGGTACGGCAAGGTTTGTCTGTGTCTGGACGAGGTGATTGCGCAGGGCAGGGTGGAGCACATGGAGGTGGATCGAATCCTTCGCCTCTCACGGCTAAAGCCCTTGGATGCGTCGTAACATTGTAACCGAGTCGAGGCAACAGAGGTGATCGCGCAAGGGAGGGTGGAGCACATGGAGGTGGACCGCATTCTGCGCCTCTCTCGTTTAAAGCCCTTGGATGCCTCATAAGCACATGGAGACCGTACTTGATACTGTACTGGCATCACGAGGCAATAGAGATGATCGCGCAGGGCAGGGTGGAGCTCATGGAGGTGGACCGCATCCTCCGTCTTTTGCGGTTAAAACCCCTGGATGCCTCATATAAGAAACCTTGCATACTTGATACAGTGTGACTTGCATGTATGAGGCAATAGAGTGGGACGAGGTGATTGCGCAGGGCAGGGTGGAGCACATGGAGGTGGACCGCATCCTGCGCCTCTCACGTTTAAAGCCCCTCGATGCTTCGTAGCAGCACTTGCTATTCTATGAGGGTAGATGAGCGAGGGGATTAGAGCGGGTAGGTGTGATGTGATCGCGCAGGGCCGGGTGGAGCACATGGAGGTGGACCTCATCATGCATCTTTCACGGTTGAAACCATTGGATGCCATATATTACCTGCACAGCAGGCATAGTACTTGATACTGCACTTGCATGCACGAGGCAAAAGAGGCAATAGATGCAGTAGATGTGATTGCGCAGGGCCGGGTGGAGCACATGGAGGTGGATCGCCGTATCCTCGTCATTCACGGTTGATACCATTGGATGCCTAAAAAAAACAGGGACATTGATCTGTAGAGACGATATAGAGGCAATAGGGTGGGTAGTGGTGATCCATGCTTCATAATTCATTCCCGTGTAGTACGGTACCATAAGTAATTCTACGTAATGGTTTCTGATTTCCGTGCAATGGTTTATTAGTGCACTCTGTGCTTACAGCAATGAGGTTTAGAGAAACCATGCGTAGACACCAGAAAGGCACTGATTTCCTACCTACACCCTGTAAGTAACTACAAGTAAAATACGTTCCGCCGAGTGTTTAGGCCAAGGTCGTGCAGAGGAGCAACCAGATGAAGAGCATTCATTCACCCACTCTCCAACCTCAAGGATGGAAATTGGATGGAAGAGCTTGTTGCAAATCTACCGGTACCGGTATGCCTCTTCCTCGTGCCATGGTTGTGGATAATAAAGAACGAGCTGGCAATGGTATTATTGTTGCCGGGGCAGGAAAAAAGAAGAAACTTGTAATCAGCTGCTTCTACAATGAACCCCTACCGTTTCCCTTGCTGCTGCTGCTGCTGCCTTCCCCTCTAGGCTCTAGCCCGACTCCCGAGAACGGCATTCTGTCTTTGACAGCCCGTCTCCATCCCATTCCACTCCCAGCATGGCCAGCTTACTCCTTTCCACCGGGCATCCCCACTCTCAACCCACCCAGTCCCACTCCATCCCCACGGTACCAACCAACCAACGGCCCAAACCCTACTTCTTGCTTCCCCACTTCCCCATGCCCCACACCTCAGTCGCCCACCTGCCCGCCTCTCCCACTCGCAGCGATGCACGGGCCTTCAGTGTCCAGCCGTACCTCTAACCCTAAACCCATCCAGTTGAACCCTACTTCTTGCTTCCCCTCTTCCCCACTCCCCACGCATCAATCGCCCGTCTGCCATCCTCTCCCACTCGCAGCGACGCACAGGCTTTAAGAGGCCGCACCATCCTCATCGCCAGCCCATACCTCTCCTTCAGATCCACCTTGTTACCATCCTTCTGTTACAGTCCCCTCCGTTATAGTCACTCCCATTATAGTCACTCCCGTTACAGTCACCCTTGTGAGAGCCTGTAACAGGCGCTTCCCAGTTGAAGGCGTGCACGAGCCGACCCAGCATGATGGTAACCAGCTGGTGCCCGAGCCTCCGCCGCACTCCACCGCTCTCAACCCCTACTTCCTGCTTCCCCTCTTCCCCACTCCCCATGCCTCAATCGCCCGCCTGCCATCCCCTTCCACCCGCAGTGACGCACGGGCTTTAAGAGGCCGCACCATCCTCATCGCCAGCCCATACCTCTCCTTCAAATCCACCTTGTTACAATCCCTCTCGTTATAGTCACTCCCGTTACAGTCACTCTTGCAATTGCCTGTAACAGGCGCTTCCCAGTTGAAGGCGTGCACGAGCCGACCCAGCATGATGGTAACCAGCTGGTGCCCGAGCCTCTGCCCGACGCACATTCGCCTGCCCGAACCAAACGGCAGCAGGCGGAAATCAAACCCCCTCATATCCACCTCCTCCCCCACTATCCGCTTCACACCCTCCCCTGTTCCGCTCTCGGGCAGCTCGAAAACTTCTCCGGGCAGGAACCGCTCCGGCACGAACCTGTCAGGCTCGGGCCACAGGCTCGGGTCGCGCGAAATAGACCAGACATTAACTAGCACCATAGTCCCTGCAGGAACCCTATACCTGCCGCTACAGAGATCTACAGGACCCGTAGTGCTATGGGCGATTAGGAACGCGCCTGGAGGGTGCATGCGAAACATCTCTTTCACGACAGCCTGGAGATAGGGTAACCGCATGAGCAACGCTTCGCCACCCGTCTGCTCCCACGCCGCCTCGAGATCCGATTGCGATTCGATCTTATCTGATTCGTTGTCTCTGTGCCACTGCTCTAACGCGCCGTCTATCTCCGTTTGTAGCCGCTTCATTGCATCCGGCCTATTAACCAGCTCCGCTAAAGCCCACTCTGTGCTAACCGCTGCAGTGTCTGTACCCGCTACAAGCAGATCCTGTAGCAGCGACGTGATTTCCACGTCATCTACCACCAAGCCAGACCCAGCCGCTGCTGCTGCTCCTGCGGCTACCGCTGCAGCAACTGGGGTTTTACCAACCCCAACACCAAAAACCCCGTTCACTGAACCGTTTGAACCTTTGAAATCCTCCCTAGCATCTGCGCTTGCACCGCCATTCATCTGCTTTTGCTGCTGCTGCTGCTCTTGCTGTTGCTGCTCTTGCTGTTGCTGCTGCTGTTTCTGCAGCATCAGCAACACATCTAGAAAGTCTCTCTCCGGATCTTCCGGGTTCTCAAGCGGTGCGAACGTGGAAGCATCTTCCATCACCCCGCGCCTCTGCTCACCCTCCCTATCCGCCCCTTCCGTCCCATTCCCCTCTCCCTCCGCCGCCGCCGCCGCCGCTGCTGCCGCCGCTTGCGCCGCTTGCGCCTCTTTCGCACGTTTCCCCTCCTCCTCCCTCCGCATCCTCCGGTGATCATCCAACACTCCCCGGAAGAATTTCTGCAGCTTCGGCGCAAGTACGCGGCACTTGCCTGTCAGACCGCCGGTCCACTTGTCGAACCAATCCCATTCCCCCACGTGGTCGACGTAGTTGAACGGCCCCAGGAGCCCCGCGATCTTAAAGATCACGGAGTTAACTTCGTCTGCGAGCGCGTCCGGCTTTCCCGGGCGGCTGAACTGGTACCGCCGCCCGCAGCTCATACGGAGGATATTGTTCAAAGACACCCGCGCAAGATGCGGGCGGATCTCGACTTCCGCCCACGCGGAGCCCTCCGCGTTTCCCGCCGCTTTTTCCGCCGCCGCGATTTCGTCGACCACCGCGGTCACCATCCCCTCCGCCTCGTCCGCCCGCACTCCGCGCCAAGCCGCGATGCGCTCTGCAGTGAACAGATGGCTCGTCGCGAGCTTTCGCCGATGCACGAAAGGCGGCCCGTACGGCGCGAACACGAGATCGCGGGGTCCGTGAGTTAATAACGCGGATGTGATCGCCGCGGGGCGCGACGCGCATGCCATGTCGGCATCCCGCAAAACCTGGCGCGCCGCGGCTGGGGAGGAGAGAACGACCGTTGGGGTTCGGCCGAGACGCATCCCCATGACTGGACCGTAGATTTCGGCGAGATCCGTGATCCGACGGTGAGGATCGCCGTCGCGGAGGATGTCAGGCAGACTGCCGAAGAACGGCAATCCCCAGGGCCCTGGAGGGAACTTTCCGCGAAGCCACAGCATCCAGGTGGACGACCAGATCCCGGACGATCCGGTTACCAGTTTCGCCTCGCCTTCGCCGGATTCCGCACCCTTTCGCTTACGACTGGAGGATGATGTGGAGAAGAAGAGGAGAGAGACGGCTGGGAGAAACCCGAGAAGGAGGAGGAGGAGAGTGGGGAGGATAGGGAGGGAGAGAGTGTGGGGAGTGGGGGACCAGGGAAGGTCGATGTGACCCCATGAGAGGAGGGATTGCGCGTTGGGTCGAGGGATAGCCCAGGTAATGCCCCCCCAACCCATCCTGTGGTCTGATCGCCTAGATGATGCTGTTAGCGGGTTGGGATTTCAAATAGAGCGGCACCGGACTAGATAGAGAAGCTGTTTGTTAGGAAAGCGGACGTTGTTTGACCTATTGAAGCAAACCGAGTTCAATGTCAGGAGTTGCGCGATCGTGATGGCCGTTCAGAACGCATTATGGGAAATACAAGACCCGTGACAGGACGGGACTAGAAAAGTCTCTCGAGGGGGAATGCTCCAGTCCAGAGCTAGCAAGTTAGAGACTACGGAAATAGCTTAGTAAACAAGCTGATCTGATCTGCTAGACTGAACTGTGGTCATTTCATCATCCATGGCCACATGTTGGAGATGGGGAGGGGAAATAAAGCTGGGCTTTTGGGACAGGAGCTGGACAAGGATTCTGGTGAACCTGTTTCTGGTAGCTCTGTAACCATCTGATTTTCCAGTGCTGTGAGAGTTTGAGAGGTGGCTCTGCGGTTGCGAAAAGTATGGACGTGACGTCAGGCCAAGAATCGACGATGACGAGATGGTGCGAAACTACTGAAATGTGTCAGAAACGCGCTGCGAAGTTACACAGAGCAGTTGTTTCTCCCCTTCGCCAGAATGTCATGCGAAATCCCGTGCCACAGCTTTCATCATCCAGATCAGTCAATCCCAGTCAGGAATCCAGCGCGACGGAATGTGACCCCTCGGCAATTTCGGACGGGAAGCTCGTGACCCTCGATGACGTAAGAGCCGCTGGATTGGATGAGAGTGCTTCACAGAACCTGGTCCACGTGTAAAGAGCATCCAGCTTCAAGTTTGACGTGGACATGGCTTCGATGCCACAGGCGTTCGGCCATTCATTAATATCATACACCTCCCACACAACCTCACACACCTCCCTCACTCTAATTATGATACTAACGCCTAAACGCGGTGTATACAAGAAATCCATATTCATCATGGACTGATTAATCTTACATATCATGTTATAATGTAAAAGGAATTATGGGATTTTTAGTGTTTATCATTAAATTAAATAAGCATAAGATTTTAGATATCAAATTCATGATATCAGAAAAATTTGATAAAGACGAAAGTTGTTCATTAAACACTCTATATACACGAAAGCTATGTAGTGACTCCATTGCTATACCCTGTTACGTTGTCGAAACTATTTCTAAATGGAGTTTCTGGGGGCGCAACCCCCCCTGCGACTCGCAGCAGAAGAATATATAAACTGTGCATTTCAAGTGTGCGGAGCAGTACGATTTCGCAGCAGAGATCATGAACTGTTCTGCTGGCAGTGATGGACGTTTCGACCATACCAAAAGCCAGGCGCAGCGGGGCGGGGTGCAGTTGCAGTCGGTTCAGCTGAATTCTCTTGTGGCACCGTCCCCCTGCCTCCACCAAGCGATCAGACCTAAGCTGTTGTAACTATTTTAACCTATTCGAACGCATGATATCGTACTGCACCGTACAGTACTGAAGCAAAATACAATCTGACACCAGTTTCGTTGGGTCGAGTCCTGCCCTTCCCTAGTTACCTTGTCCATATGTCAGGTGAGTACAGTACTACTTAGGAGTGCTTAGGAGTAGGACAGGCTGATGAAGTACAAGCAAGGACTCTAATACGTCAAGGGCTCTAGCTAACGATCGAGGTCGGAAGTCGAAACCGAATGCGCCGTCAAACGGATACGTGGCACACCTTCGCATTCTAGCCGCTCAGAACACTCGTTGTACTCCCGCCTTTGTCTCATGCGCGTCATTGATGTCGCATATCTCCCGAACCCGAATTAGCCTAGCGAGGGAAGATAAGGTCGCGTGCCTGCATGTTCGTAACCGCGCCGTTGCTGATAACTAACTAACCGTCCATCCAGCCAGCTTCGCCGGAAGATAAGACGGCCAGCCAGCTTTGAACGATAAGGCGTCCAGCATGGAACGCGTACAGCGAGCACGCTGAAAGCCGCCGACAAGATTTCCGAGGCGCCTGAAAGATCGATTCTTGAACGCGCGTACAGCGTGGGGCTTGACAGATAGAGCTTTCTCTGAGAGCTAATATTACTGCGAACCGTCATTTCAAATCCGTCGTTTCAAATCCGTCGCGCCGTGTTTTCTCTAAAGTCGACTCAGAAGTCACCGCGGTGTTCTCTCCTCTGTCCGTAAATCTCCGACTCTCGCACTAAGGCCTCGTTGCATCTCATCTCATCCTTCGCAGCTTTGCGCGAGCCGCGAGTCGAACTGAAAGCGCGCTACGAACGCGAATAACCTTCCACCACCACGCTTTGTTCAACTACCCCGCACAAGCAAGCACCATGGCCCGCAGCCTCCCCCTCCTCCCCGTCCTCCTCCTCCTCGCTCTCTCCTCCCTCCTCTCCGTCTCCTGCCGCCCAAGCCCTCTCGCCACCTCCAATGCCTCACGCAAACCCGGCGGCGGGAAACGCGGCGGGAAACCCGGCGGGAAATCCGGTGGGAAATCCGGCGGGAGTAAGAAGGGCGTTTCCGCGGTGAGCTGCCCGTCGCCGTGGCCGGAGCTCGACAGCTGCCCCACCAGCGAGTCGCTGCCGCAACTCGAGGTGCGGCTCTTGCGCTCTGACATTTCGCGTTTCCCGTCTCGCGTGTTGCTCGCTCGCTGACACGTGGGCCGCAAAAGTTGTCAGGGACGCGAAACAACAGGACCCGCGACTCAGCCCCTCGTCCAACCCCATCCCCCACCTTCTCCCCCCCTCTCCCCTCTCCACCCTCCTCCCCCCCCACTCTTTCTTCATTCTCTTCCCGCCCACCAGGACTCGCAAACGGAGTTCCCAGGGGCGGTGTGGGGTGCGCTGCGGCCGCACAAGGTGCCCGGGGCGCGCAACAGCCCAGCGGACGCCACGTGGCTGAACAAGGACGAGCGCGACACGGAGGTTTACATCGAGGAGTGCTGCTCGCTGTGCGCGCTGAACGACGCATGCGAGTACTGGACGTACACGCGGAAGCTGGATTCCATTAAAGGTACGCTCTTCTTCTTTGGAATGCTGGGAACTGGGTGCACTGCCGCCTTACTTCCACCGCCCCCCCTTCTCCCTCTCATTCCCTCCTTCCCTTCCCCCGTGGGTTCGTTCCCCCTGCTGCATTCCGCCATTCCCCCTATTTCATCCCCTCTGTATCCTTCCCCCATTCCTTCCCCCTCTCCGCCCCCCCACACCGCCAGGCACATGTCAGCTCTTTTCAAGCCAGCAGTGCGCCCCCAGTAACGCCTACTCCGCCATCTCCGCCCCCGCCTCCTCCCCCCGCACCCCCCGCTCCGCCTCCTCCTCCGCCTCCTCCCCCCGCACCCACCACCCCGTCTCCTCCCCCAAAGTCTCCTTCTCCTTCCGCAAGGCGCCAAAAGACGCCGCCCTTCCGACCCCGGGCGGCTCCGACGGCACGGGCGGCAATGGCGGAGCGGGCGGCGGCACGGGCGCAGGGACAGCGGGAGGGGGACTGGATGATCCTTTAACGGGGACAGGGGGCAGTGGGGGGGACAGCAGCAGCGGTGACAGCAGTGGCAGCGGTGGCAGCGGTGGCAGCAGCAGTGGCGGAGGCAGCAGCACCGGGAGCGGCACCACCACCACCACAGGCAACACCACCTGTCCTTCCTTCTCCGGCTGCCTTTCCGCCTGTCCAGCTGGCACCAGCGCGATCACCCAGCTGTACAGCGACACGTCAGCGCCTGCCACGTCAGCAGCAGCTAACGTTGCGCGGGGGAGGCTGTACGGGGTGGAATCGCCAGCAGCGGGGTGGAGCGTGTTGGGGGAGGCGGGGTATTTGAGCATTGGGGGGTGCTGCCAGGCGTGTAAGGCGGGGGCAAGCAATGACTGCTACTACTGGACATGGCAACACGATCCAAAGGAAGGGGATTATGACCGAGGTAAGGCGGTTGAATGTGGTGGAGTGGGGTGGGAGAGGTGGGGTATTTGAGCATTGCGGGGTGTTGTCAGGTGTGCAAGGCGGTTGAGTGCGTTTGATTACGGTTGGGTGTGGTTGAATGCGGTGGGAGATGCACGGTGTTTGAGCAATGGGGGATGCTGTCACGCGTGTAAGGCGGGGGCAAGCAATGACTGCTACTACTGGACGTGGCAACATGATCCAAAGGAAGGGGATTATGATCGAGGTGAGACATTGAAGGACCGTTGGCTGCTGCAAGCACATGACTTGCTCTCTCCTGCAACCCTCTTCTTGTCCTGCTGCTCGCCTGCTGCTCGCTTGCTGCATGCCACCTGTCTTATTGTCACGACTGTCTGACCCTTCCCCCCACCCCACGCCCCTGCAGGGCTGTGCACGCTAGTCCACAGCCAGGCGTGTTGCTTCATTGACAGACGAAGGCTTTCTGGAAACGCAGGCCTCAACTTCCCTAATACCACAGTCTTTTCCTCGTCCCTCTGCCTGTCTGCCCCCCCCCCCCCCGCCCACACCCGCAGGGCTGTGCACTCTGTTCCACAGCCAGGCGTGTCGCTTCATGGCAGACGAGGGCTTTCTGGCAACACATGCCTCACTCCCTTTCCTTGTCCCGCTGCCTGTTTCTTGCCTCCGTGCCTGTTTGCCTTCCTTCCCCCCCCTCCTTCCCAGGCCTGTGCACGCTGTTTCACAGCCAGGCGTGCCGCTTCATGACAGACGAGGGCTTTTTCTCCCCGCCCGTGTTTGACCCCGCACAAACCAACTCGTTCATGTTCCCTCTGCCCTGTTACTCGGCTGTGTAACCATTACTGCGAAGGCCATATGCTCTGTAATTCGGTTTTGTGGTCTGTGTAGCTGTGAGTATGTATTGCTGTGTATAATATATAATTTGGCTGTTGCAAGCAACAGGTAATGCCCTGAATCGAACCTTGGATGGACCTGTAATATACCGTAGCCAACACACAAAACCATTGTGTTCTAACATGCTGATATGCTGACATTATAAGTTGGTGTATTGGATAACTAACAGACTTTTCTTACTGCATGAGCCTTCATGTGCCACAACCAGCAGGCTCCAGACCGGAATCCAGGCGCAAGCAGCAGGAGAAGACCCGCCTGATATGCACTACCTCTAGCAGAAATGACATGGTATGGTAATGTGGCAAGCTGGTGACAAGGTACGGTACCAGTAACATGATAACATGGTGACCAGGTGGCATGATGACATGGTAACATGGTAACATGGTAACATGGAGACATTGACAAGCACTTGCACGGACAGAGACACTAGCCAGGCGGGTCGTGCGCTGCCATGGTGCCTCTTCTTCTCATCCCCACCGCAACCCTCGCAGCCTGCTAGTGTCTCATCGCCAGTGAAGTGAGTCACTCACACTTGCATACGTCCATCGCACTCCCACAGGTCAACTGCCCCACTCCCCACCACCCACTAGCTCGGGGGCTGGAACATCTCACTGATTGTGCACTGCCATGGTGCTTCTTCTCCCCATCCCCACTCCCACCCCCGGAGCCTGCTAGTGTCTCATCGCCAGTGAGTTACTCACACTTGCATACCTCCGTTGCACTCTCACAGGTCAACTGCCCCACTCCCCACCACCCATTATCTCGGCGGCTGGAACATCTCATTAATCGTGCGCTGCCTCTTCTTCTCCTCCCCACCCCCACACCCTGCTACAGTCACACCTCCATCAGTCACACCCGCATGGGTCAACCCTCCCCACTTCCCACTGCCCTGCTCCCCCTGCTGCTCATCCCCCCCTCCCTTCTTCCTGACTGCAAGAGCAGCAGCGGAGGCAGCATGGCGAGGGTCCTTGTGCACCTGCAGGGACTGCTTCTGCTCTCCGTCCATCACCTGTTGGAGGAAAAGGGGAGGAATAAAGGAGCGGTGTCACATTCACACATTCACAGGAACGTGAGTCGCAAGAGGAAGCAGAGGGGCCAACATGGTAACATGGCGAGGGTCCTTGTGCACCTGCAGGGACTGCTTCTGCTCTCCATCCATCACCTGTTGGAGTAAGGGGGGCATGGCGGCACATGCAGCAAGGGTGGTGCATACACATTCACACAGAATGAGTCGCGTGGGCTTGAAGCAGAGGAGGAAGCAGAGGAGGAGGCGGCATGGTGAGGGTCCTTGTGCACCTGCAGTGACTGCTTCTGCTCTCCATCCATCACCTGTTGATGTGAGGGGGACAGGGCGGGGCAAGAAGGAACAGTGTCACATTTACATTCACATTCACTGACAGGTGAGTCACAAGCAGAGGTAGAGGCAGAATGGCGAGGGTCCTTGTGCACCTGCAGTGACTGCTTCTGCTCTCCATCCATCACCTGTTGATGCGAGAAGGGCACATCCATACTCATTAGTCGCACGCTTTTTAGTCGACTCGGAAAAAACGATAGGGCAGATTCAAACACGAGTCACACGAGAATGGGGCCTGACAACAGTGCATGTGCACCCTTGCACTTACTGCTTCTGCTCACGGAGCATTGCATGCTGACAATGCCGCACAGACACCTGCGTAGCAGGCCGACACAATGGCCATCCTAAGATGCATGCTCAGCCGCCCCAACCACCAACCAACCACCTGCCCCAGGCGCACCCATCTGCCCCACTCACCCGCCCACCCACGCACCCACCCACCCACCCACCCACCCACCCACCCTCCCACCCACCCACCCACCCACCCACCCACCCACCCACGCCCCCCGCCGCCCTCCCGCCGTCCTCCCGCCGACCCGCCCACCCACCCACCCACCTGTCCCAGATTCTCCAGTTTGTGCTGAACAACGCTCCTGAGCAAGGGCAGGTGGTGGATGGGTGGCGGAAAGAGGGGAGAGATAGGAAAGAGGAAACAGAGAGGGAAGGAATGGAGCGATTTCTGGGGAAATTGGGCGGGGGAGAACGAGGATGAGCGAGTGAGAATGAAGTTGACATGGTCCGGTTGGCTCTTAATCCACTGCAGTCGTTGTGGTACAGTGAGTGGGTGAAGAGAAGGAAAGGTTGACATAGGCTCAACGCCTGAACCAACGTGCGCCTTGAGTTGACTTAGCACATCTCATAGCACGCAGCAGATAGAACACAGCATATAGCACACATGACACAGACAGGGCATGGAATGCAAGCACCCGCCATGGGATGGGGTTTTAGCACCATATGACACTGCACAGGGCAGAGAGCATGCGAACACCCACCATATGAGGTCGTCAATGGTTTCAGGGGCATGGAGATAATACACGGCGTTCACCATACAGCACACACAGCACGTACAGACAGCACAGAGCACAGAGCACAGAGCACGGAGCACGGAGCACGGAGCACGGAGCACGGAGCACGGAGCACGGAGCACGGAGCACGGAGCACGGAGCACGGAGCACGGAGCACGGAGCACGGAGCACGGAGCACGGAGCACGGAGCACGGAGCACGGAGCACAGAGCACAGAGCACAGAGCACAGAGCACAGTGTGCACTTAATCACCCACCATATAACGTCATCGATGGTTTTGGGGGCGTGCAGATAGTAGGCGTTACACACACAGCACACATAGCACACAGGAGAGGGCACACAGCACACAGGACAAGCACAAACACCTAAAGTACGCAAGCACCCACCATATAACGTCGTCAATGGTTTCAGGGGCGTGCAGATAATACACGTTCACTGCATTGGCCTGGACGGAGTAGAGAAGGGATGGTGAAGGGAAGATATAGAGGTGAGAGGAGAGACAACTTTTGAGGTGCCTCAAAAGTCTGGACGGAGCAGAGAAGGGGTGGTGAAGGGAAGATATGCTGGTGAGAGAGAAGCGGGTGAGTGCAGAGAAGCAGGTGAGCGAAAATGGGAATAGAGGACATGACACAACCAACGAGTGAAGAAAGCAGGAATCAAGGACAAAACACAACAACCTGTAACCCAATGCCCCACTGATAAGCCAGCACCCACCTGCCCCATGCCATATTCTCCTCCTCTACCCCCCAAGATCAACCTTCAACATTCCGTCACCGCTTTCAACACCTCAGCACCCACCTGCCCTATCCTGTGAACCCGCCCTGTGCTTGCACCAGGTCCTCCAGCACTCCACACCCCATCACCGCATTCAATCCCCCAGCACCCACCTGGCCTATTCTGTGCGCCCTGTCCTCTGCCTGCACCAAGTCCCCCGGATTCCACGCCATCTCTGCAAACACCACCGTGCTGGCTGCTGTGAGTGTCAGTCCCACGCCTGCTGCATGGATACCCAGCTGTGAAAGTGAGAGGGGCGAGTGGATGGGTGCGCAAAGGAATAGGAGGAGTGCTGACGTCAGAACACATGGCAAACACCACCGTGCTGGTTGCTGTGAGCGTGAGTCCCACGCCTGCTGCATGGATGCTCAGCTGCATGTGTGGGGGAGGGGCGAGTAGGGGATGAGGGGTTGACACCGCAGCGTACATACAAACGTATGGCAGCAACATCACCGTGCTGGCAGCTGTGAGCGTCAGACCCACGCGTGCCCCATGAATGAATGCCCAGCTGTGAGGGTGAGAGGGAGTGCAAGGTGACCGGAGTAAAGGAGGGAATCAATGGGCTGAGACACCAACACCACAATGGCAAACACCACCGTGCTGGCTGCTGTGAGCGTCAGACCCACACCTGCTGCATGAATGCCGAGCTGTGTGTGAGGAAGGACCTGCTGATGCTCCTTTTACTCCCTTGCTCTTACTTGCACCTTCCCCCCCACTGTCACTGCCACACCCACGCCTCAGAGAGACCGTCTCACCTAGACATGAGCACAAGGGCGAACACCTGTTCGGTTCGCCTCGAACACGTTCGAGGCGAACCGAACAGGTTAGTTTTTTTTGCTTAAAGTGTTCGCCAAACAGTGTTCGAGGTTCGCCCGAACACGTTCGTGTTCGGGCCGCTGCTGCAATTTGCCCCGCGACGAACACGAACGTGTTCGAGGTTCGCCCGAACACGCCTTCACAGGCGAACGGCGAACACCTGTTTTTGCTTAAAGTGTTCGCCGAACCGAACAGTGTTCGGTTCGGCAAACGGATGTGTTCGTGTAGGGGCGAACACGAACATGTTCGTGTTCGCCCCTTGCTCATCCCTAGTCTCACCACACCCACCCACACCCACGCGAGTGTCAGGCTCTGTCTGAAAGCGCGCCACCAGATGATGCCTCTTTTAATCCCTCGCTCGAGCCTGCACCCTTTTACACCCCCACACCCACACCCACATCTCACCACAGCCACAGGAGTGTCAGGCTCTGCCAGGAAGCGCGCCACCAGATGATGCCTCTTTTAATCCCTCACTCGAGGCTTCCCCATTCTAAATTTCCACACCCACACGGCAGGAGTGGGCCCCACACTCAACTCACCACAGCCACGCGAGTGTCGGGCTCTTCCTGAAAGCGTGTCATCAGCTGGTGCCTCTTTCATTCCCCTACCACACACTCACTCGCACCTGCCTTCATTACCACACCCACACACACACCTCTCAGAAAGACAGACTCACCACAGCCACACGAGGGACAGGCTCACCACAGACACCCACGTGCAGCACACGTGGGCCCCACACTCACTCACCACAGCCACACGAGTGTCAGGCTCTTCCTGAAAGCGTGCCACCAAATGGTGCCTCTTCTCAGGCGCTGTGCCCCCGTCGATGCGAATGTACCCCACCTTCGCCTTCTGAGGGATGGGGACGACAGGGAGAACGGGAGAACGGAAAAGGGGAGAGTGATTGAGGGGGGACTGGTTACAAGCGCGCCACCAGGTGATGCCTCTTCTCAGGCACTGTGCCTCCATCGATGCGAATGTACCCCACCTTCGCTTTCTGAGGATGGCGGGGAAAAGGAGACGGGAGAAAGGAAGTGATTGAGGCGACCTGGGTACAAGCGTGCCACCAGGTGATGCCTCTTCTCAGGTGCCGTGGAGCCGTCAATGCAAATGTAGCCGAGAAGAGAGAAGAGAGACGGGGAGAATTGGAGAACAGGAGAGGGGAGAAAGGGAGTGACTGAGGGCGAACTGTATACAAGCGCGCCACCAGGTGATGCCTCTTCTCAGGCGCTGTGCCCCCGTCGATGCGAATGTACCCCACCTTCGCCTTCTGAGGATGGCGGGGAAAAGGAGAGGGGAGAAAGGGAGTGAACGAGGCGAACTGGGTATAAGCGTGCCACCAGCTGATGCCTCTTCTCAGGTGGCGTGCCCCCGTCGATGCGAATGTAGCCTACCTTCTCTTTCTGAGGGATGGAGAAGACAGGCAGGGAGAATGAGAGAGGAGGAAGAGAGAAGGAGAGGGCGAACTCAGTACAGCACAACACAGCATGGCATGGCACGGCAGGTTGCAGGGCACGGCATGGCATGGCATGGTACGGCATGGTATGGCATGGTATGGCATGGGACGGCATGGCATGGCACGGCATGGCACGGCATGGCACGGCATGGCACGGCATGGCATGGCATGGCATGGCACGGCATGGCAACGCATGGCACGGCACAGCACAGCACGGCACGGCACGGCATGGGATGGCATGGTAGCATGCTATCCCAGCACCAGTTACTAGCAGACATGGCAAGGCATGGCATGGCATGGCATGGTTACCTGCAAGAAGTCGGAGAGCACATCCATCATGGCCATGTGGTGGGCGAAGGGGCAGGCAGCATAGCCATCATAGCATATAATGCAAGCAAGCATGGCATGCTGAAACAGCATGGTTACCTGGAAAAACTCAGAGAGCGCATCCATCATGGTCATGTGATGGGCGAACACCAGGAACTTGCACCCCCCCTGCACGAGTGCAAGCAGGGGAAGAAAACAGGGGCCACAAACAAGCAGGGGGCGCAAGCAGACATGCGAATAGACACACTGATGAGAATTCTCAAAAGTGAATCCATCATGGTCATGTGATGGGCGAACACCAGGAACTTGCGCCCCGCCTGCACGGAAAAGCACACACATGCAAAAAACAAATGCACACCCACATGTAAAGACACACATAAATACTTCCATGCGCTTCATGCACCCATGCGGTTACTACCTCACCTCCCTTACCATAGCATGAGTACCACCACCACACCACACCACACCGCATTCAACACCACTCGATTCACCACCACCATGCGATCAAGCATCATAGATGATGCCGATCCATTCCCATGCCCTCATCCCCTCACATGTACTCACACGCACTCAATGCACTCATATGCCTTCTCGTGCCTTCTCATGCCCTCTCATGCACTCCTGACTCACCCCCAGCATCATGCCCAGGTATGCCATCACAGCATGATGATGGCGTGCATGCACGGTGACACTAACCTGCATCCAACATGCATGCATGTGCACGTCATCCCACCTCCAGAATCATAGTCATCTCCCCAGGTACCCACCTCCCCAGCGACTCACCTCCAGCATCGTTCCCAGGTACTCCCTCACAGCATGGTGGTGTGCATGCATGGTGGTGTGCATGCATGGTGGTGCCAATTCATATACCCACATGCCCAGCGACCCACCTCCAGCATCGTTCCCAGGTACTCCCTCACAGCATCCACCTTCGCTTCTGCCGACTCCGTGTAAAGCTGCTCGCATGGGGGATCGTGGCAATCAACAGGGTGGGTGGGAATGAGGGAGGGAAGGTGGAAATGTCTCAGCTGTCTCTGAGGGTGGTGAGAGGAGGGCAATGTGTCCGGTCCCCAGGTACCCCATCACAGCATCCACCTTTGCCCACGCTGACTCTGTGTACAGCTGCTCACATGGGGAACGGTCACCCGTGGTGATGAGGGAAGGGAAGGGAAAAACATTATGCCGCCTCTGAGAGCGGTGAGAGGGCGAGGGCACATTAGCCCTCCCCCATAAGGCACAATATCAAAGCCTTCTCAATTGGCATGCTGCAATCATATCCGTCCTTAGCAGTATGTCAACTTGCCTTAGCCTTTACGGACTGGCATAAACCAGACTGGCCTGAACCGAAACAGGACATATGATCATCCGTCTTGTAAGCACCACCCACCCACTCACCCGGGACACCAGGGCTCTTTCCTCCATCACTGCTTCACTCTCCTTCTCTGGAGTCGCTGCCGCCTTCTTCTTCTCCCTCACCTTCCTCAGCTGGCGTGCGCGTGTGTGGGGGGAGCAGGTTTGGGGGAGGGGGGAAGAGGACGGATAAGAGGGGTGTTGACTCTTGAGGTGTCTCAACAGTCCAGAGCCCTCTCCTCCATAGCTGCTTCACTCTCCTTCTCTGGAGTCTCTGCTGCCTTCTTCTTCTCCCTCACCTTCCTCAGCTGGTGTGTGGGGGAAGAGAGGGGAGGCAGGGTGATACGGGTAGAGGGAAGAGGAAGGAAATGGGGAGTTGGCCGCTGAGGCGTCTCAACAGTCCAGGGCCCTCTCCTCCATTACTGCTTCACTCTCCCCCTCTGGAGCCCCTGTCACGGCCTTCTTCTCCCGCACCTCTCTCAGCTGCTTTTCGTTTCTGTGTGGGGGGAGAGGGTTTGGGGGAGGAGAGGGGAGGGGAGGGAGCAGCATAATGAGGTGACTTTTGAGTCGACTCAAAAGTCTTCTTCTCCCGCACCTTCCTCAGCTGCTTTGCGTGTGTGTGGGGGGGAAGGGTTTGGGGAAGGAGAGGAAGGAAGGGTAAGTGAATCTGAAAACGTCTCAGAAGCTTCCCCTCTGCAGCCCCTGCGGCCACCTTCATCTCCCGCACCTTTCTCAGCTGGTTTGCGTGTGCGTGGGGGCAGAGGGTTTGGCGGGGGTAAGGGGGGGAAGAGGACGGATGGAAAGGTGTTGTCTCTTGAGATTCTTGAAGGTTACTGGGGAAGGGCGGGGAGTGGGGAACGCTGGTCAACACACAGTCACTGGGGAAGTAGGGCAGCAGTATACTAGCTCGTATTAGCAAAGAAAGGTAATCACTATTGGGAACCAGGGGAAACCCCTCAAGTGGGGAGTAAAACTCGGATCGAATGGATGCGGCTTTGATTGCGTGGATAAGCTCATGGCCCTCACTCATCCCCCCTCCCTCCCGAACGGTCCGTCGTATTAATATCATCAAGGTACACACAGGGTAAGGTAGCAAGCCACACACAACAAAGCTACAGGTGCAATCTCCTATCCTAACACCACTACAGCCGCCCCCTTTCCCTCCCGGCCCTAGTGGCCGGAGGGGTCCTCTATCAGTTGGTACAGCTGGCCCTCGCTCAGTGGAGTGAATGGTCCCTGCAGGCCTAGCGCATCCGCGGTAAGAGCCTCATGGGTCTTATCCCTGAGGGCGTTGGCTTGGGCTCTCTGCAGGGTCACGCTCCATCGCTGGCGGTACTCGGTAAGTAGTTTCGCCACCTCCCTCGACTTTGGGGAGGCGTTAAACCGCCGCTTTGCCGCTAGCTCCGCGCAGCTGCGAAGGAAATCCAGGACTCCAGGTGAGGGGTAGCCATAGGTCTCCACGGCCATGGCGTAGAAGCCCACCCACGGGCTCCGCCCGGCGTATTTTGTCTCCTTCTTGTCCGCTTGCATCCTAGCCGCCCACCCGGGGGCCTTACGCGCGTACTCGTCCTGTCCCGGGGTCCCCCCTCCCTCCTCTCTCCCCGTCCTCCCTCCCGTTCCCACTGTGCTCATTTCAGCCCCACACCCCTCGCCCTCTCATCACCCCACCTGTGGATGAAGAGCACGAATGGGCTTCAGGTCATTTTGCCCCTTCTCTCCCTCCTCTCCACTCACCCCCTCCATCCCTCCCACAACCCACCTGTATATGCAGTGCACGGATGGGCTTCATGGCCTTCTCCTCCAGCATTAGCAGCACCTGCACAAGGGGAGAGATGGGATGGGGGGAGTGACCGATACATTTCGAGGGCACACTGCATAACAGGCTAAATCTGGGTTGATCTGAAGTCTCTTGATTTTGGAGACGTGTTTGAGAATTCTCCACACAACTTCCGTTCATCAACAAATGACTCGGTTTATCGGACTACATATGAGGGAGCTAGAGGCACGGGTCAAACGTGGTGAACAAATCGGGCGAACCTGGTTCGTGCTGAAAATGAGCCGAGTATTACTCGACTCGGCCTTTGCTCATGCCTAGCGAACAAGTAGCAAATATGCAAGTATGAACATGCTGCTGAAGCAGATTGACGATACTTAAGAATCTCGACAGCACTTGAACCTGCCAACCCCCATCCCCCACCACTCATCAGTCCACCCCCCCCTTCCCCCCACGGTCCCAACCCCCACCCCACCACTCACCAACCATCCCCCACCACCCGCCCACGACCCTTCCATTCCATTCTCTTTGACGCAGGCAACCCTCACCCACTGGACCAGAAATAACGGCTCAAGCACGCTCACCCACACACACATCAATTGCCTCATTGCTGCTCAAGTGCCTTAACAATACTTGTTAAAAAAACCAAAACCTCCTGTTTGCTTGTTGGGAAAGAAAGAAAAGCTAAACATAAACTGCCATTCGGCAGAAAACAGAGTTGCTTTTACTACCTGTTGTCGTCGCTTGTCTGGCAGCTGTGGCAGCACTTGCTTCTTGAGCCGCCGGATCATGACCGTACCGCTCAGCACCGCATGCAACTCCTCCAGATTGCTCGAGCCTGTGAACTCCCCAAACCTCCCCTGGCACAGACAAACGCAGACACAGGAGAATGAAACATGCCAGTAGGGTTGAGAACAAACAAGGCGATCTCAAACCTGCTCGCCTCGAACAGTTTCAAACGCCTTTCTATCTCTAACCTAACACGTCCGGTTCGACTTGAACGTCTTCTGAGGTCGGGTGAATGAGAGCAAACGAATATCGGAGGGAATAGGGGATTCCTCGTACAGAGGGAAACATTGCAGAAAATAGCTACGGACTTATGAAGCAACAAGAGGGGGGAGAGGGGGGCAAGGGGATGGGTGGGTATTCCTCCATCCCCCCCTGTTGAACTGTTCTTCTATTCACCATGTCTTTCGCCAATTCAAAGAGATATTTTGCTACTGCATCAAACTCCTCCCCTCCTTCTTACTATGAAACGTTACCTCTTACTATGAAACGTTACCTGTTGTTACGGCCTCCAACCAACCACTCACCTCCTGGCAGTACCATTCACCATTATATTGATTGTGATTTGTTGTTGTGACCGCATCCAACCACTCACCTCTCCACAATACCGCCCACCATACAGTTACGACTGCGGATGTGTTACATTTTACAGTGTATTCCAAAAAAAAAAAAAAAAAAAAAAAATCCGCTCACCATTGAGTGTAACCTGTTGGTATCGCATCCAACCACTCACCCCTCGGCAGTACCTCCTGCCAATTAACCTGCTGGTACCACATTGAACCACTCACCCCCTCGGCTGGCACCACCTCTTGTCACCGAGTGTAACCTGTTGTTACCGCATCCAACGACTCACCCCGCGGCAGTACCTCTTGCCATACTCTCCCAGCTTGCGATAGGCATGAGGCTGAAGCGCCTCCAGCTGAAATGGATGGATTTGTGGGAGGACGGGATGGGGCACAGCGGGGGATGCTTGGGCCTCTGCAGTGAACGGTGCAGCGAAAAATGAGGCGCCTCAAAGTCACCACTCGGCAGTACCTCTTGCCATACTCTCCCAGCTTGCGATAGGCATGCGGCTGAAGCGCCTCCAGCTGAAATGGATGGAAAGCAGGGAGGGACGGGGCACAGTGGGGAATGCTTGGGCCACGAGTGGGAACGGTGTAGGGAAAATGGGTGAAAGGGACTGTGTTGAAAATGGGATGAAGAGAAGGGAATTCAGACAAGATGGGGCAAGAGAAAGACAGATGTGACAAGGGGATGAGAAGATGCAAGTGCCCAGGCACACCCAGACATACAGATTCACACAGACAGCACGAACAAATGAATGCACACAAGTACGTTTGATGCATGCACGCACAGGCGCAAAGCAACAGGCAGCTGAGGAACATGTGCCTTCCTGTGCGGGTGGTGCATTATGCATACCCAACGAGTGTACGCTCAGGCGCACACCCGACACAGGAACACATCAGCTGTGCAGGTGTGCCCGTGCATACCCAACGAGCACATGCTCACATGCATACCCGACACAGGAACACAGCAACAGATACAGCTCACAAGAACGCATACAGCTCAGTAACACATACAGCCTGGAAACACGTGCCTGCTTGAAGAGATCGATGGGGCGTGAGAGGGCCGGTGTGCCCGTGAGAAGAATGGCCCTGTTGGCCCTCTGGTGGCAGAGGCAGGTGTGCACGGTCAAAAGGGTCAAAGGAAGTCAACAGGGTTGAAAACGGTCAATGGGGTCAACGAGGGTCATAGGAAATCGATGGGTTGCAAGAGAGTCAACCGGGTGAAAGAGTCAACAGGTCGACAATATTGCTTGATCGACTAAAAAAAGCCTGTCCTGGCAGCCTGAAGGGGGTAACAGAGTCAGGATAGCCAATGGGATCGAATAATTTTCAATCAAACCGTCAGGCACATTGAACAGGGAAATGGGCGGTGGGAGAAGTACAAAATTCACATACCTGCAGTCGTGGCACGGCCAGCCCTGTGCGTTTGGCCTTGTAGTTCTTGAGGTAGTGCGACTCGTCTGCTATCACCACCTGGTGCATACATGACAAGGGGTGGAGAGGGGTTAAATGCGGTGCGTGTGATGCACTTGTCACACGGCCAGGCCTGTGCGTTTGGCCTTGTAGTTCTTGAGGTAGTGCGACTCGTCTGCTATCACCACCTGGCACACGAATGGGGAGGGGGGACAATTCGGTTGGCATTTCTCATACGTGACTCGAATATGTTTGGCTCATCTGAGATTACCACCTGGCGTTTGTGTGTGTGTGCATGCATTGGGGGATGGATTGATGGGATTCATGGTGGAGTATGGATGTGATGTGATTAAGACGAATATGAGATGATGGGAATGGCTATGTGAGTGCAGTGAAATGAGCCGGGTGACTCAACTCACCTTGAAAGGGCTCTTGGGTGCTCCAAGCAATCAAGAAGGTCGTTTGACACAAGTTAAAGGGCGATTGCAGCGAGAGTGGCTGGCTGAGGGTGCAGTGTGAGGGGCTGGGCGCGAGTGGAGTGTGAGGGGCTGGGCGCGAGTGGAGTGTGAGGGGCTGGGCGCGAGTGGAGTGCGAGGGGCTGGGCGCGAGTGGAGTGTGAGGGGCTGGGCGCGAGTGGAGTGTGAGGGGCTGGGCGCGAGTGGAGTGTGAGGGGCTGGGCGCGAGTGGAGTGTGAGGGGCTGGGCGCGAGTGGAGTGTGAGGGGCTGGGCGCGAGTGGAGTGTGAGGGGCTGGGCGCGAGTGGAGTGTGAGGGGCTGGGCGCGAGTGGAGTGTGAGGGGCTGGGCGCGAGTGGAGTGTGAGGGGCTGGGCGCGAGTGGAGTGTGAGGGGCTGGGCGCGAGTGGAGAGGAAGAAGCTGGCGGCCTCAGCTCACCTTAAACGGCTCCTCTGGCTGCTCCAGGCGATCCAGCAGATCATAGGAGATTATGTTGAAGGGTGATTGCAATGAGAGTGGCTGGTTGCGAGTGCAGCGGACAAAGTTGAACCCGTTGATGCTGCGCGTTGTGCCCTGAGGCATCACCACCTGAGAGGGATAGGGGGCAGGGGTGGGGGGGGGATGGGCGTGGGACATGAGGCAAGGGATGAGGGGCAAGGGGCAAGGGATGAGCGGCAAGGGATGAGGGGCTGGTTGCGAGTGCAGCGGACGAAGTTGAACCCGTTGATGCTGCGAGTGGCGCCACCCTGAGGCATCACCACCTGACATGGAAGACGGATCCGGGAACGGGGAATGGGGGATGTGCGTGGGGGATGAGGCAAGGGGAGGGGTGTGGGGCTGGTTGCGAGTGCATCGCACGAAGTTGAAACCGTTAATGCTGCGAGAGGTGCCCTGAGGCATCACCACCTGACAGAAAGAACGGGGAATGAGGTAAGAGGCGTGGCGCATGGGAGCTAGGCGCATGGGGCTGGGTGCGAGGGGTGCCCCCCTGAGGCATCACCACCTGACAGGAGGCAGGGGATATGGCCTGGAGGGGATGGCATGGCATGGCATGGCATGGCATGGCGTGGCGTGGCATGGCGTGGCATGGCTCGCACATTGCACATGACTCACTGTGATGTCTTCAGGGGACAGGCTGAGCCAGCGCACAATGCTCTGCCATCAAGGACATGGCATGACATACCCATGGGATGGGATGGCAGGACATGGCATGGCATGATAGGCATGGCTTGCACTTGGCACATGACTCACTGTGATGTCTTCAGGGGGCAGGTCGAGCCAGCGCACAATGCTCTGCCATGGTGCAGGGAAGTGGCGGGTGGATAGTGGGGGTGGGGGGAGGGAGAGAGGGGGGGGTTGGTGAAGACGAGAAGGGAGAGGTGAGGCCAGCGCACAATGCCATGGTGCATGCAATGCAGGGAAGTGGCGGGTGGATAGTGGGGGTGGGGGGAGGGAGAGCGGGGGGTTGGTGAAGAAGAGAAGGGAGACGTTGTGCCAGCGCACAATGCTCTGCCATGGTGCAGGGAAGTGGAGTGGGGAAATGGGGGGGAGTGAAGAAGAAAAGGGACAGGGCCCAAATGCCTCACCATGGCCCAGTGCAGGCGCAGGGAGGAAGGGGCAATGACAAGCACGGGCTACTCGTCCCGGTACCGGTAGCATGCAGCCAGCCCAATGCCTTGTCCTGCACCAATCATCGCTACTCTCCTGCACTTCCCAATCACAATTTGCACATTCCCAATCAAACGCCTCACCATGGCCCAGTGGAGGCGCAGAGAGGAGGGGGCAATTACAAGCACAGGCCACTCGTCCCTGTAGCATGCTGCCAGCCCTATTGCCTGCACGGTCTTGCCCAGCCCCATCTCGTCCGCTATCAACACTCGACCACCACGTGACAGAGCGAACCTGGGAGATTGAGGGGCGAGGGGAGGAGAGAAAATGGTGTCAGGCAGTGAGAGTGACAGCCCAGCCCTATTGCCTGCACGGTCTTGCCCAGCCCCATCTCGTCTGCTATCAGCACCCGGCCGCCTCTTGAGAGAGCGAACCTGTGAGATAGAGGGGCGAGGAGAGGGGATGGTGTGAGACAGCGAGACTAGCCGCCCTATTGCCTGCACCGTCTTGCCCAGCCCCATCTCGTCTGCTATCAGCACCCGGCCGTCACACGACAGAGCAAACCTGGGCAGGAAAGGGCGACCAGAGGACAGGAGAGTGAGCGAGGGTTCAATGCAGAAGCAACCACCGAGTCCATGCGCGAATGCTAGTCTATCATTGTGTTCTCCAGCCGCATCCCTGCTACCAGCACCTACCAGCACCTACCAGCACATGAGAGAGAAGACAAGCGTGGGGGAGTGCGGAGAGGAGAACAAAGGAGAGCAAACTAGAGCCAAGTTCTGAAACGAGTCAGACAGAGCATGCTAGATGAATGGTGAGGCGAGGACTGCGAGGTAGACTGGTATGAAATGAATGCAAGGCAAAGGAAAGCGGGGAGAGTGGGAGCAGCGGAGAGTAGAGACAAGTGGGAGCAGCGGAGAGTAGAGACAAGTGGGAGCAGCGGAGAGTAGAGACAAGTGGGAGCAGCGGAGAGTAGAGACAAGTGGGAGCAGCGGAGAGTAGAGACAAGTGGGAGCAGCGGAGAGTAGAGACAAGTGGGAGCAGCGGAGAGTAGAGACAAGTGGGAGCAGCGGAGAGTAGAGACAAGTGGGAGCAGCGGAGAGTAGAGACAAGTGGGAGCAGCGGAGAGTAGAGACAAGTGGGAGCAGCGGAGAGTAGAGACAAGTGGGAGCAGCGGAGAGTAGAGACAAGTGGGAGCAGCGGAGAGTAGAGACAAGTGGGAGCAGCGGAGAGTAGAGACAAGTGGGAGCAGCGGAGAGTAGAGACAAGTGGGAGCAGCGGAGAGTAGAGACAAGTGGGAGCAGCGGAGAGTAGAGACAAGTGGGAGCAGCGGAGAGTAGAGACAAGTGGGAGCAGCGGAGAGTAGAGACAAGTGGGAAGCTTGCATTGCGATGCTAACGTCTGAAAGAGCTGAACGAGTGACGTCACACTCACTGCATGCCTTGCTCTTGAAAGGGCATCAGAAGCTTCCGAAAGCCGTCTGGCAAGTCAAAGTAGCGACCTGGGCGTAAGAGAAGACCAATGGGAGGAATGAAGGACAGAGAGGAACTATAGCCTGGTGCAGAGGAGTGGTAGCAAGAGTAAGTAAAGGTGGGGGGGTGGTGACGTAAAGAACGTAAGGGACGAGCAACAGGAGGATGGCACAGGTGGGCTGATGATGTGCGACTTGCCTGAATCGTCTGGCAGCTTGGCCGTCTCCTCGAGTGCCCGCTGCACCGCCGGTGGTAACGGCTCCACCTGTGGCGGCAGCAGTGAGCAAGAGAGCAAGCGAGCAAAAGAATCAGCTCAAATGCGTAAGCCGATGTCAAAGAGACAGTGAACCAGCACATTGGACAAGCAAGAGAGCAAGAGAGCAAGGGCACATGGAATGGGAAACCGGCAGAGAGGAAGAAATGGTAAATTGGCTTTCCTTCCTGTTATCATACGCTCTTGACGGGCGTGACAGCTCCCACACTGCATGGCTGCACACTCACCTGCCAGGTTGCATGGCTTTAACTTCACCTCCACTCCACATCGCATGCCGGCACGGATTGCACGGCTTGGAAGAAAAGGAACACCCACAGGCTCTTCTACTTGTACAGCTCCCTTATCTCATCACAGACTGCACTTCAGAACTCTCACCCTAACCTCCACGTCACACACACTCTCACTCACCTCCACATTGCACGTCACATCGGCACTGATCGCACTGCTTGGAAGATACGCAACACCCACAGGTTCTTTCTACTTCTACAGCCCCCTCACCTCCCAGATTGCACTGCGGAACTCTCACATCCCACGTCACACACAATCTCACCTCTACATCACAGGTTGGTACCGATTGCACGGCTTCGAGAAATGCATCCAGGGAGGAGAGAGGGAACACCCATAGCCTGCGGCCGGAGCAGGAGATGGGGAGAGGAGGCGAATGGGGGTGTAGGGCACTTCGAAACAAAGGAGAAGAGAGAAAACACGGTACACCCACGAAGCCAGTGAGAAAAGTGCAAGGTAGAGAGAGGAAACGGGCCATGTCTCAGACCAGGTCCCACACCCTTCTTCACATCAGCTCATCTCAAAAGTCAACTCATATTTCTCTTGTACCACATCTTATCTCACCCATCCCCAACTGAGCATCTCACCCACAACGTCTCGTAGCATGTCTCACTTGCCTTCACTCGTACGACTGCAGACAAGCCAACGGCTCACCGCTTGTCCTGCCGCCAGATAGAGCAAGGGACTCTCTCATGGGACTCACGAGATCCTGAGCTGATCAGCCTCGGCACGTCGACAGTTCACCGCCCTCCTTGACGCACATCTCCCACTCAATCACTCACTCACTCACTCACTCACTCACTCACTCACTCACTCACTCACTCACTCATTCACTCGCTCACCCACCCACGCACCCACTCACTCCCTCTCACACGTTTTCGCATCTCACTGTTTCACACGTACCACGTCCCGCCACGTCTAGTCTAAGCACATAGCTCGCCTCACCCTTTCTGCAAGCCCCACTCGCCTGCATTGCAGACACGACTGCGGCTCACCGTTTGTCCTGCTGCCAGATGGAGCAAGGGACGCTCTTCATGGGCGCCACGAGATCCTGTGGGCGGGGGAGTAACAGAGAGAGAGAGTGAGAGGGGACAGGGGATGTGGAGGGGGGGAGCGATGGGGGTGGGGGTCGCGGAAATGGGAGAGGAGAGAGGGGGAGGGGAAGCGATGGGAAGGAAGAGGGGGGGATGCAAGGGGGGGCGAGGGGAGGGGGGTGAGGGGCTAAGAAGACAAGTGAGAGTCATTGCAGTAGCTGATGCATCACAGAAGCTGTTGATTGTAGAGAGAAAGACTACCGTGAAACAGTGCGGCTACAAGGACACCACTCGGTTCACGACGAGAGCAGCAGCAGTGGCTGGCGAGAAGCACCTGGTGGAAAACAAAGGATGCAGCCACTCGACCGTTGGAGGATGGCAGCAGGCGGATCCTTCGACTCTGCTGCTGTTGCGGTTGCTGTTGCTGCTGAGCCACCACGCGCTGATGCTCCTGCTGCTGCTGCTGTTGCTGTTGGTGTTGGTGGTGTTGATGCTGTTGCTCTTGTTGCTGCCGCTGCTGCTGCTGCCATTGTTGCTGTGGCTGATGTTGTTGTTGCTGTTGCGGCTGGTTCTGCTGCTGCTGCTGCTGCTGCTGCTGCTGCTGCTGGTGTTCTTGCTGCTGCTGGTGCCACTGCTGCTGTAGTTGTTGCTGCTGCTGCTTCTTCTGTTCCTCCTCCAACTGATTATCCTGCAACAGCGGCGGTTCTTCATGCCGTGCAAGCTGCGGCCATAGCTGGTCAGATGTGGGCACTATTGGAGATGATGCAAGCACCGGAGCAGGAGCACTAAGACTGGAAACCGAATCAGTGCTGACACTGCAGCTGCCTACCCCACCACCTATACGCGTGTTCACCACATTAGCGGGTGTGTCTCCCACCCCAGCAGCTGCATCAGCTGTGCCAGCTGTCCTGGGGGCACTCAAAGCGAAGCCGGTCGAATCAAGGCGAGTGGAATCAGGGCTGGTTGAATCACGACCTAATGAAACAAGCCCTGGACCAGGGCCAGCAGGATCTGGGCGGCAACGCCAGTCTGCAGTTGAGGTGCCACTGCCACCACATGAGGCAAGCGGAGGTATGGCGTCTGTGCTGCTACCACCAACAGCACTGCTGGCATGTATGCTGCTGGGATGCATGCTGCTTGGATACATGCAACTGGGATGCGTACTGTTCCCATTCATGCAGCTCGCATCTCCTCGCAGCCGCTTCCTTGCACGTTCCTCCTCTTCCTTCTCCGTCTCCTCCTCTACACTGCCCCACGCAGTCTGTGACAGTAACGAGGGAGGATCAGCAACTATCTGCATGGATGGAGCACAAGAGGTGCAGGGCCACACAGGAAAGTAGGAGGATTACTACACATCTAGTGAAAATCTGCTCACAACTGGATCTCATTATACAATGACATGCAAGCACATTGAGATGCAAACCGACTGACACACACATGCGTTTTCCTCCTTGTAAGCCACACTAGCCAGCCGGCAGCACTAGCATCACCAATCTGCACTGCAAGCAATGCAAGCACACTGCAGCAATGTGCAACAGCAACTGAGCAGTGTTACCAAGTGCGCATGGTTACCGCAACGCACCTGAATAGGAACGTCAGTGATGCATGCGAGCGCTGCAACCACCTCATCCGCCATGTGGAAAGGGTACTTCCACTGCCTGCACGATGTGGCAAGGAGGAGAAGAGAGGGAGGGTGCACTGCTTCTTTAAGGTGCCTAATAAGCTGCACCCAATTCACAAGTCGCTGCAACCACCTCATCCGCCATGTCGAAAGGGTACTTCCCTCTCTCCTTTCTCTTCCCCTGCCTGTGCAAGACGACGAGGAGGAAGAGAAAGGAGAGAGGGAATGACAGAAAACGCTTCCTTTGAAGCACCTAATAAGTCGCTGTTACCACCTCATCCGCCATGTGGAATGGGTACGTCCACTGCCTGCATGGGACGACAAAGCATGAGGTGACACAAGTACGCATGTCCATACATGCATGGTGACACAAGTACGCATGTCCATACATGCATGGTGACACAAGTACGCATGTCCATACATGCATGGTGACACAAGTACGCATGTCCATACATGCATGGTGACACAAGTATGCATGTCCATACATGCATCAGATCATCACAATCCCAATCATGCATATGCACAAGCAGTGCTGACAATCTCAACTATACGACACAACTGCATATGCATGTGCTGACACAGCTGCTCGCTCCCATCCCATCCTCACCCACCTTCTTGCTCCTTCGGAAATCCTGACGTCTCCCCTCAATACCCCCCACCCACTTGGTCCATCCATGCCACCCACCTGCTCCCTGCTCCATGCTATACCCACCTGGTGGCTTTAAACCAGAAGCATACTGAATGGACTTGAAACCCCTCCGTCACTGCCTTTAGAGGCGCCTGAGAAGTCACCTGCTTCCCTCGCCATACCCAACTACATGCCTTCCTCTCCCCGCTCACCAACCCACCTGCTACCCTCTTCCCCCACCCACCTGCTCCCTGCTCGTCCACCCGCCTGCGCCCTCTCACCCACCCACCTTGCCCATTCATCTCATCTCATCTCACCTCACCATCTCCTCTCCTCCCCATCTCCATAGCCCACCCACCTGGACACTTTGTCCCAGAAGCGCCCTGAAATGGACTTGCACACATCCTTCACCGCCTGGGCAGCAGAGAGGCAGTGGGGGAAATGAAGCATAGGTGAGGGGTGCCGCACAGGGGAGGCACTGAAGCGCCCTGAAATGAACTTGCACACATCCTTCACCGCCTGGGTGGTGGGAGAGAAGGAGCCAAGTGAGCAGAGGGACGGATGGGAGAGAAGGAGCCAAGACAGCAGAGGGACGGATGGGAGAAGAGGGGCCGAGGCAGAGGCAGCAGAGGGACGGTGGGGCAAGGCAACATTGGATTTTGAGCGGTCACCTGTAGTGACGCACTAGCTAGCTATCGACCACCAGAATCTGAACAAAGCACATTGTCATATGGCAATGCAAGATTCGTAGGAACACAGCCACACAATCCTCTCACCTCGTTACAAGGCAGACACCATTCCCTCGCCTCGATATAAGATGCCACCACTCTCCCTCAACTCGTTTACACACCACCTCCACTCACCTCGTTACAAGGCACCACCAGCATTCACTCACCTCGTTATAAGGCACCAACTTCACAGCCAGCAATTCATCTGCAGCCCTCGTTATAACCACTTGCACTTGCCCCGCTGCCTGAACTGGATCCAGAGGAACCTTCCCAGCAGCTTCCATTCCGGCAGCAAGTGCATGTGGCGTGCTGCTGCTGCGCTGGCTGCAGGGCTGCAGTGTGTAGCCCGGTGAATGCGGCACGTGGGATGGCGGATTTGACAACTTTTGAGACGTCTCAAAAGTCTGTGGCGTGCTGCTGCACTGGCTGCAGGGTTGCAGTGTGTCGCCCAGTGAATGCGGCATGTGGGGTGGCGGATTTGGCACGTGGGATGGCATGTGTGGCATGTGGGATGGCACATCAGTGCCGCCCACTGCCACGGCACATGGCGGTATGTCATGTGCTGCTGACTGCGGCAACGGAGTCACCGCCTCCACCTGAGAAGACGGGTGTGGACGAAGGGGCACAGGGGGAATAAGAGAACTACCAAGCCACATGGCAGTGCGGCATGTGTTGAGTGCGGCAACGGAGTCACTGCCTCCACCTGAGATGATGGGACGGAAGAACCAGGGAGCAAGGAAGAAGACGGTAGGTTCAAGAATAGCTGGAAATGGGAAGGCAAGTTGGATTGGACGGCGCATTGATGCTGCACACTGGCATGGCACATGGCAGTGAGGCATGTGTTGAATGCGGCAACAGGATCACTGCCTCTGAGATGATGGGATGGAAGTAACACAAAGGAAGAGAGAGGAAAGACAATGTGTGAGCGGCACTCAGAAAACACTAGCACTTACATGCACATGGGGTAGGGCCCGCAGGGCTCGTTCCACGTCTTTTGAGGCGCCTCAAAACAAAAAAATGCACTCATACAACACTAGCATAGAACTCGCATGCACATGGGGGAGGGCCCTCAGAGCACTCACATGCACATGGGGGAGGGCCCTCAGAGCACTCGCATGCACATGGGGGAGGGCCCTCAGAGCACTCACATGCACATGGGGGAGGGCCCTCAGAGCTCGTTCCACGTCTTTTGAGGCGCCTCAAAACTTTTGATGCGTCTCAAAACTGAAAAATGAACTCATACAACACTAGCATTAGCATAGCACTCACATGCACATGGGGGAGGGCCCTCAGAGCTCGTTCCACATCAGCAGCCACGGCGACAGGGAAGGTCCAGACTCGGTTGCTCTTATCCCACCGCCGGTCAGGCAGCGACTGGCACAGCTGCTTGACTTCCTGTTGATGAGCGTGAGGGAAAGGGGTTGGAAGACTTTATTGGTGCCTCAAAAAGCAGCAACCGACACGGCTGTGTCACTTCGTGACCGTGGAGATGAGCGTGAGGTGACTGTGAGAGCATGCGTGGGGAGGGAGTGAGCAAGTTGGGGGAAGAAACAAGCAAGTGGGAGGAAGTGGGCGGGCGTGTCGGAGGGAGTAAGGATGCGGGAGGTACTGGGCATGTGGGGATACTGGCTCCTTGGAAGCCTCGAAAACCCATGCGATCACCCAGTGCTGCAATGGCCACCCAACCCACAGGGAAACAGTCATGAAGCGTGAATATCCGTGCAATGCTTTCACTTCACTTGACTCAGTGCAGATGCACGATGACTACCACAAGGTGACTTTCGAGTCGACTCAAAAGGTGACTTTTGACTTTTGAGTCGACTCAGAAGTCACCTCACTTCACTTGACTCAGTGCACATGCACGATGGCTACCACAAGGTGTGATGGCTCAGAACCGATCGATATGATGGTCCACATCATGATGGAACGCATCATGACGGAACGCATCATGACGGAACGCATCATTGACGGAACGCATCATGAGGGAACGCATCATGATGGAACGCATCATCACGGAACGCATCATGACGGAACGCATCATGACGGAACGCATCATGACGGAACGCATCATGACGGAATGCATCATGACGGAATGCACCATGACGGAACGCACCATGACGGAACGCACCATGACGGAACGCATCATGACGGAACGCATCATGATGGAACGCATCATGACGGAACACATCATGACGGAACGCATCATGACGGAATGCACCATGACGGAACGCATCATGATGGAACGCATCATGATGGAACGCATCATAATGGAACACATCATGATGGAACACATCATAATAGAACGCATCATTATGGAACGCATCATAATGGAACGCATCATAATGGAACGCACCATGATGGAACGCATCATAATGGAACGCATCATGATGGAACGCATCATAATGGAACGCATCATGATGGATTGCATCAAGAACAACAAGCAACAGCACGCGTTGAACCTTTGCCAAAGGTACCTAACTGGTGTTCAGTCCTGCTGGACTCGTATGTAGACGCATTTGGTCACGAAGATAACAACAATTCGGAAAGCAGCAGCAAGTTTTTGAACGTTAACTAACTGGTGTTCTGAGGACACCTTAGGACTAGAATGGTATCAGCAACCCACAGAAAGAAGCACCACGAATGAAGTTATGACACCTAGCTGGTGTTCCATGAGATTTGATTGGGAAACGGATGATAACAACAACCGGGATAGCAACACCGGGTGCTACTGTCCTGTATCTGGAGTCCCGTTTATTGTGTACCTCGTTATAAGGGATCGTCTTTGCCGCGACGCGTTCATCCTGCAGGCTCAGAATGACGCGCGTGGTGCACCCATCTGGCGGCGGCTGGCATTGCGGATGCGGCTGGCGTTGCGGACGCGGCTGGCGTTGCGGACGCGGCTGGCGTTGCGCACGCAGCATGGCTCACGAATGGTTGGGCCAATGGTTACCACAAACGGATGGCTCACGAATGGTTACGCGAATGGCTACCACAAATGGTAACATGGGTGGTCCAAATGGTAACGCGTAATTCAGAAAGGAAGTGTCGTAAGAGTCGGCTACGCCATATGCCTGGTTGCTACAAGTTGCTGCCGCGATCCTGTTGGTGCGCGCTTCGTACGTCGATTCTGCGTCCTTCGTGGCTCGCTGCTGCAGCGACGACTGACTACAAGCGGGTTACGAGCGGGGTACCAGACGGCAACGAGAGGACGAAGCTGACGTCGCCGAAGCTACGGAAGGCACAGAAAAGGTTCTGCAGCTCGCGCGTGACTGTTAGCTGGCTAGAAGCAGACTACGTCGCTAGAACGGCACCAGTAGCAGCTATCACAAACGGCCGCTTGATAGCAGGCCGCTTTGGTTGTCACTAAGAAAGGTTCGCTTTATTGCTGAAAGTGACTAATTGGAACAGGTACAGCGTGTCGCTCCGCTGGAACCAACCTAATAATAGGCGGTAATAATAAACAGCCTAACCTAGAACCCGTCACTTCTAGCCAACCGACGACGTCAGGATGCCAACAAGGGAGCCGGAACTAGCAGTATTCATGCTCAGAGAGTACCATTCAATCTCTGTGCTGAGCCTGGGTGCCAATGAGACAAACTCGGAATTCGAAAACTGAAGACTGTGGGGTGGGAGACCAGGTTAGTGAGGTCGTATCCCTGGCTAGTGTCATGACACTACCTCAAACTTTGGAACCCATGCGATTGGCCCGTTGTCTTTTTTGGACCAATCGCATGGGTTCCAAAGTTTGAGGTAGTGTCATGACACTAGCCAGGGATACGAAACGAGGGATTGTGTTGCAGCATCACTCGACTCGACACTCCCGTTGTTTTTCTTGGCGCGAAACAAATCGAGTCCAGTGCCTTGATTCTGACGAAAGTTTGATAAGCGTAGGACCTGTTTAGTGTTTGAAGGAATTGTTATCGATTACACTGGAGACACGTTTACGCAGACAAAAAGCAGTCATTTAGAATCATAATAAGATAGTACCAAATTAAGTAAAAACACAATTTCCCTCCATAGTTATGAGCTCTTGTCTTTTCCATTCTTAGCCTTACTCTCCGAGCCCTTTGATTTCTCCGTTTTCTTGCTGCTGCTCCCCTTGGTGGCAGCAGTCACACTAGCTTTTCCTTTGCGAATGTAACTGTAGTACACTATCTGCGCAAAGATGGTGCCGTGTGATAGTACACCCAAAATGCTCCCAATGGCCACTGCAAAGCAGAATGGGGAATAGAGAGAACGGGAGGAGGAAACCAGGATACAGACGAGAACACAAAGAAGCAGGACACAGGCAGGTTTGTGTTGGAGTGGTGGGAAGGAGAAGGGGGGGAGAGGAGGGGGGCGCTGGTGGGTGGGAAACTGGGGAAAGGGGGGACGGTGTGGGAGGAAGGCAAAAGACCGCGACTAAGGAATAAACGTGAGGAGATAACATGCGAAGCAGAGAGAAAATGAGCAGCAAAGAAATGAAGGGTTGAGAGGGGAATGTGAGGGGTGTCTTACTGCTGAGAGGAGCCTTTTCTTGGATAGATGTGAACAGGCGGGCTGCAGGATGGGAAGGACAAAAGAAAACCAGATGGGACGTACAAACAAAGAGAGAAAAGATCCGTGAAGCAAAGAGCTGGGCTGACAGCACTGGCGGCATCGCTATAGTCATCAGTTATCGAATGGGGAAAATGAGGTGATTTATACTGAGTGGAAGGACTTTTAAAGCTGTCGCCTACATACTTCCTGCGGGAGGACTTGGTTTATCACTTGAAAACCTGGTAGCACTGAGCTTCGCTCCAACCTTGAGTGGCGAGGTGCAGTACTGCTTTGTGACAACCCAACCCCCCCTCTGAAAATTGGCCTGCTCAGGATTGGCTTACAATTTTCATGCCAATCTCCTCCCCAACCTCGATTGGTTGCAGGTTGTGGCGAAATCGCCAACACAACCCCAACCTCACGAAATAAGTACCCCCCAACCGAACCTTACACGAAACTGGCGGGATTCGCCAGTTGTGTTTGAAACCTTCGCGCCCTCATTTCTGGAAAAGGATTATTTCGTGAGCAAATCAGACTGCGTCCTAGGGTGTGCACCCGAAATACCCCCAGAAAATACAATTTCGAATGTAGACCGCAGCTTTAAGGCGCCTAGAAGAGTCAGTTATTGGATGGAAAAGCGAGGTGTATTGATAGTGAGTGGTAGCGGAGTGGTGCTCACCAATGCAGCCAGCAAAGGTGAGGAAGGTGGTGAACACACTCAGCTGCCCCGTGCTCTTGCTCTGCTCATGGAACATCGTGACAGAACCACGAACAGCCGCACATGCCGTGAGATAACATGGCATGACAAGGCGATATGATATGATATGATATGATATGATATGATATGATATGATACGAGTCAACCGTATGACTTGACATGGTAGCGGAGTATGATATGAGATGCAACACGCAGGGATAATGATGCTAACTTGTAGCACACGGAATGAGCAGGCAACGACGTGATAAGCTGGCATGACACGACATGGGATGGCACGGCATGGAATGACACAGCATATACTCAACAATCAAAACCAATGCTGCATGCTCACCACATAGTTGCTCCACATTTGGGGGATGCGTCCAATGGTGAACAGAGCCGTTTGGGCATTCTGCATGAGATAACAGGGTTGAATGGGTT